TCCTCTGCTTAATGCTCCTGACATCCACTGTCTCGGTTTGTGTCTCAAACTTTGACTTTTTAACCTGTGAAGAAGCGGCCTGAGGGACCTTTCTGCTAATAGCTGTCTTATTAAGAATCTATCAGTAAACGTGTTGCCTTTGTTTCTATTCATGCATATCTCTTTTTGGCTACATCCCTTTGCGTTTATCTCTCGAAATTTCATTTTTTCACTAAATCTCATAGGATCAATTTCAGAGAAGTTGAAAAGTGTCATTTAAACTGAAGACATTAGCGATAGCTTTCCACACACTTGCTAATGTCGGAAGGTTCCTAAAATGGGGGTAATCAATATAGTTGCCAGCATAATAATTAATACCTTTTTATAACTAACTCACTTATTTCCTCATTAGCTTCACAACATCAAAATTGAAACAAATTTGTATTTGTCACAGCTCTCAAATTTATATGTGGTACAATACTTTAAAATGCTCATCAAACTCTAAGAATTGACCCAATCAAATGTATTTTTCAACATGTTTGTGTTTCAGATACATCATATTGTTAGTAAATTCATGAAACATTTTCACAAGAATTGGCTGCAGGCTGTGACTTACTCTTAGACTGGATAGTTCTCATGTAGGTGGTTAAGTTGCAGAAGTAATTCAGTAATCCATCGCTTTAAGGAGTTACTTTATTAAGAAAGTTGCATGTTTTTATTTTAACAGTTTGGTTTTCAGATTGGGGTTGGAAATAATCTTCGACTCCAGATTGAGAAACTTAACTTATTGCAAGGTGCTCTGCAAATTGACTAGATGCTCCATTATTCATAAATATTTTAGGAATTGGGTGTTTGCCTTGCATTCTGAGTAGGATTTCTTCTCTCCCTCATCCAAAGGAGCCAGTTGAAGTGGCCATCTGGTAAAGATCTGTCCCGAATAAGTGCTTAGGAATTCTGTACATATCTTGATGAGAAGAGACCTGAGGGCAAGCCAACTACTTTGTGGAGAGATTATATCCCCTTGGTGATTAGGGTAGGGAATGCCTTGTTGACCCTAGATGAGTTGGAGAAGATAGCAGTGGGGTAGGTGACTGGATGATTGGTCAGTTGTCCAGTTCATCTTCTGCAATTATTTCCACATTCATAACCAAAACCCCAACATACTTTAACTTTTGAAGCAGCTATAAAAATTAGGAATAGGTAAACTAGCCAAGCAAACTATCTGCAGTGGATTTTGCATAATATTAATAAGCTGATTAGAGCCAAGGAAAATAAATGGTGCACCTGGAGAGACTACTTTCCAAATGCCAGCCAATTGAATGGAATCTGTTGCATTGCATCATTTTTTGTTAGCTTCAAAATCTTGCTGCAAAGTGAAATGAATGGCTTGATGAGACATTTAAATGTTTGTGACCAATGAATTACATGATTTAAAATAGTCCAGTTGTTAGATCAGACAATTATATCAGTGCACATGCAACCAGATTGCTGTATATTCCTCAGGGATATTTCTCTCTCCAAATTAGCATAGCTTGCCCAGCTGCTCAAACTGTTTGGTCCAAAAGTGCCTAAAGAAGTATTACTATTTTCTCTCACCAATTTCACAGTTTCTTTTTCAGTTAGGCAAAATAAGGACACTTTCTAAGACAGCACTTGTAACACAACAGAATAGGCCTAATTATGGTGTTAGTGTAGGGGTGCTGGTTGGGCATTCTCTCACAGAATAAGAAATAATAAATGGGTGGGAGTTGGAAATCAAGCCTAAAGAAAGAGCATTATTATTTACCACAGACATACTTTTGCACTACACCCTGTAATATACGAGTGTCTGTGGCTCTTCCTTTGCTTCCTCCTCTCTCTTCCACCCTTTCGCCATCAGTCCAGGTGCCAGTCTTTTACAGAGCTGGCTCTAAAGCTCTAAATCCCTGTCTAACGTTTTGGTTTTGCTCCTTGCACTGACTGAAATGAATCCATCCTTTCTGGCATTGAACTTGTTTAAATCCTTCCTCTTAACACCGTTAATCCAGGGATATTATGTGTTATAACATGGATATTTCCGTGTTCTGTTGCTTCAATTTCTGATACTCTCATTCAGGAAATGGTGGCAAATATTTCAGCACATAATAGAATTTACACAAGCATGTTATGTTTTTGGTAACTTTATGTTTCAGATTTGAGGATATTGTTATAAATATTGAGTGTTTTTAAAGACAGTCAAGTCTAGTGATATAGGCAGGGATTTACTTAATTCATTATTAAACAGTCAGACTTTAGTCAGACATTTTTTTCTGGTGAAATTCATAGGCCTTCTGTCAAAGAAATGCAGAACAAAAGTTAAATCCTTGAAGTGTTTAACATTGCAGTCCAGTTTCATTTAGTCAAAGTTTCCCACTCTTGTTGTTAGTTGTTCTGATTGGTAATGGAGAAACTAAATCGACTCACCTTCACCAAAAATTATAAGAAACAAACTGAGACTGACAATTTAATTAAACTGGTGTGAACAACATGAAGTACATTATCTTAGCAGCAGCTAAGCGTTAGAAGAGTTTGAGGCAGAAAGCTAGACAGCATAACGGTTCTGCTTTTGAAGTTGAGGTACCATTTGCCAAATAGCAACAATTCAAAAAGTTCATGGAGTAAAGATGTTTGGAACCTGTTTCTGAAATAATTCTGAAGCATCTTTGAAAGAGAGTATTTACACTACAGTGGCATTCTCAACTCCCCTCGGTCTTTTCTTCAAGGCTCTCTTGTTTGCCATTTGGCAGATAAAGTGAAGAATGTAATCAGAAGTAATCATGCCTTTACTTTTGACCAGAATTGTCCAATTTTCTGTCTGATTACACAAACGGAAAATAAATAAATCAGATCTTCTTTGATCTGAGTTTTACCAACATGGTAACATATGTCTTACCATAAAATTCAGAAGAAAAAGGGTCAGAAGACATATTTTGTATCATCAGTTAAAGGAAGCAGAGAGTTATAAGCCATTTAAAAAGATAGTAGATATTTATCACATGTCTGAGAACTGCAGACAGTATAAACAACAACTGTCATAAGGCCTCAAATGTTTGTCTTTTTGATAAGGTTTCTTAATTCTGAAAATATATCTCTACTGTAAAGACTTATTTCAGCAGATGACAAAAAAATTGAATAGATCAAAGCAAAGTTGCTCTGTTTTATCTACCTACCTTTGTGTGACAGCTTTTGGAAATGTTGACATAAAGGATTTTTTTTCTTTCTATGTAATACAGACAAAGACTGCTGTTGGTAATCGCTAATACAGGATGTATAAGACAGTTTAAAATGTCAACTTTGTAATTGAGTTCCTTTTAAATTGACCAAACCGGATATCCACACTGATAATATCAATAGAAACTCAAGGCAAGATGGCTACAAAAATGTGCTTTAGCATCATGCTTTAAAGCTCCTAAAGTGAAATGACTAAAGTCGGAATAGAAAGGTCAAAGCTAAAAAAAAATAAAATAAAAAAATTAGGACATCAGAAGTTTTAAATGTCACTGTGCAAGAAAACTTGAAACTATATTAAAGATAGATTTATCAAAGGAAGGAATTTTTTTTTTCTTGAAACTTAACTGGAATAGAAAGCTAAATTGGGGAAACAGATTTTTTACAAATGAGTCATTTCCAGTGGAATTGTGGAAATTTGTTTGGAGCCAACCTGAAATAAGGTTAGTTTAAACAATTTTTTTTGAATCATATTACATATAATTAGAATCAGTAAACCTTTAATAAATTGTGCACAATGTCTACATAATTGAGGAATAGCATTTATTTACTAAAGTGTACTTGGTTGACATCTAATTAAGTTAAATCATATTTCTCCGAATATATCTAAATTGAAATTTAAATTTCCATGCACTTCCTTGGAAAACTTAAGATTTTCAGAATTCTCAGAACATTTTCAACCCTATTTTTAATTAACTAAATATAAAGAAATCAGAAAAAAATGAAGCATTCTGTATTGCTACATTAAACCTTCCCAATAAGAGGTCAATGTCCTTTTCCTCCATAAAACCAACATCAAATACCATAAGCTTTAAATTTTATTCTTTCAACTGGAGCTTCCTGATTGTGTGTCTCCTGTGTCGTTGCTTCCTTCTACCCACCAAATATATATTTAATTACTGCACAGATCTTTAAAACAAATCAGGGAGGAGGCTCACATTCCAACACTGCTGAGACATGCCTGAAGAGATACCCCACTAAGTTCCTGTCAACGTTGAATAAAATGATTGCTGAAGAATGCCCCTGCCAGCCCTCCGATCACTCACTCTTATAACCTGCTCCACTGTGACAAAATGTGAAAACATGCTGTGACCTGAAAGAAATATTCTCCAATATCTGTAGGGTAAGAAATTATGCGCCAACAGCTGCAAAAGCTCTAAAAAGTTCAAATGTATACAGTAGATAAACCATGGGAGCAAATGGGTCAACTATGTATCAGATTCATGCTGGCTCTGAAAGCCAGAAAACACGTTTTTGTATGAACAGTTGTTGCTCCTGTACTGCGATCCCTGCTCTCAGAGGTTTCCCAGCGATGTAGAAATGGTTGTTTGAAATAGAGCTGTTTCTTTATTCTGTTGGCCTTCGACTCTCTCTGTTTGCTGTATGAGCGTTTGTAAATGAACTGCTGTTGGCTCATTAGAGCCTGGTCTGCTTTATCACCCAGTAAACTATTGAGACAAACAACAGAGTGGGCCATTATTTTTCATCTGCTGAAACTAAGCGCGTCGTTCCTCTGGGGTTTAATTATCCCGTGTTGAAGTGAATTAGAATTAATGAAACACTTTGTAATACTTTAAGACAGAAGCTGCAGATCTAATTGTCCTGCTTTTACCTCTGCAGGTTCAACATGTGTGAGAATTATACTGGTATTTCAAAGTTTGATATTTTTATTTCAGTCATTGCCTGACGTGAAGTCTTTTGGGGTTTAATTTCCATTTTTCTCTTTAAAAATGCTAATTATTTTTGCCTTTGCTTTCTTTTTTTCACTTTGCCAGCTGAAAATGGATTCTTGTGCAAGACTCCCGCCATAGCCGACATTGTGATCCTGGTGGATGGCTCTTGGAGTATCGGTCGGATTAACTTTAGGCTGGTTCGAGCCTTCCTAGAAAACCTTGTCAATGCCTTTTCTGTGGAATTTGACAAAACAAGAATTGGTGAGTTCTGTTTTGGATTTTTCCCTTTTCTATTGTTTGAACAACATCTTACATTTCATTGTCCAATGCAGGACTTGCTCAGTACAGTGGAGACCCCAGGATTGAGTGGCATCTGAATGCTCACACTACCAAAGAGGCTGTGATAGAGGCTGTGAAAAACCTGCCCTATAAAGGAGGAAACACACTGACAGGTATGCTGCCACGCAAATTCTCACACTACTTTCTGGTTATTATAGTCTTCCAAACACAGATGAGTAAACAGATGACATTCAGAGGTGGAACTGGAATCAAGCCAGTTTGCTACCTCAGTTTATTAAATTCCCTCTGGTGCAGTTAATTTCAGGTTGGTATTTATAGATTCAATAACAACCTTTGCTGATCAGATGAGACTGTGGAACAGAAGGTCAGGACAACAAAAAATGACTTCTAATATTGATTTGATATTCTGCAGCAGAAAATTATAATTTTTTTTAAATACATTGAAGCATGAAAGAAGTGCAGCGTAGATTAGAAGGACTACAATTATTTTACTTACTTTTTCTTTATTACTGTATGAAAATTGCATTTATTGTATAGGTTGAGATATTATGCAGTTAAACAGTTTGCATTTATTATAAGTATTCCTTTTAGAATTTTGCATTTATGTATCGCTCAATCCAAGATTGGATTTTCAGTGCAGAAGTCAGAGATTGTCAGTGTGGGCTACCTCTGAACTCACCTGCTCATTATGTGGTCAAACTCAGGAGACAATAAAACTTGTCAAACTGATAACGACACTTCAGACCAGTTAAGTTACAATCTCTGACAGTGGCTCCTGCCTTGTTTCTGACAAGTTTTCTTCGGACCTCAGAGGGAAACTCAGGGTACAATCAAACTGTCAAGCTCGTACATAATGCATCTTTAAAATAATTGGTTGGCAAAAGGATTTTATCATTTTACACTAGACGTCCTCTTGCCAAGCAAATACTCAGTGCAATGTTTTTTTAATGCTAGTACAACTGCATAAAAAATGTACCACATGTTGACTCCAATATTCTCATTAAATTTTGCAGCGCAAATATTGATAGTGAATAATTCACATTTTGCTTTTTATTATCACAATGCTTTCCTCCACTATCTCTCACTTTTAGGAGAGTGATCAGTAAGATCTCTGTGGACATAAAGGACAATGGAAGTCTGCCCAAGGGCCAAATATATTATTGTGTAAAACATGGAACCTGTTATTGTAATAACTGTGCTTCAATTTCATGTGCACCTATAAAAAATGTCTTTCCTAATGTGGTAAGACACCAGTTTTACATTATTTCATTGTAAAAGGTATAATGAAATAACAAATATTTGTTTCCTCACAAAAACAAACAGAAAATAAGCAAAGATGTGATGCGTAGTAGCTTAGTATCATTTACACAAAAATAATTTATATTCATTAGTATATGTGAAATCTTTTTTTTTTTTCTGGATTGTTACTATAATTTTTTTTAAATTCACTGGCTACTTTGAAACTATAAGAAAATAGACATTTGTAATTCTGGAACAGTTTTTCTTAAACTTCTCCAAGACATTTTCTCATTTCTTTTCAATTTTCCAACTCGACTTAGTCTGTTTGCCTAATCAAGTATAACATTACGTCTTCATGTTTTTGAGGCATTTTACGAATTTACATCTGTAATTTTTTTTTTTTTTCATTTTATAATGTTATGACAGAAGAAAACCTTTAACACTTCACTTGTGACTTATTATGGCCTTCTCTCCCTTTATGTTGAAAACACCTTTTTAAAGTCACTAGCTATCTGATAATAGAAACTAACATTGACTTGGCTTGTATTCGACTATTGTCTTTTATTTTAGCTTGTATCATATTTCATTTCAGTCATGCTGTGTTCCAAGACTCTTACGCCTATTTAGATAAATAATTTTAATTTTTTATTACTTGCAACTTCTACTTTGATTATTCTGTTTTCATTGTTGTTTTTGTATATGTACTGACATTGCACTGTTCTCAACAATCCAGGTCTGGCTCTCACCTTTATACTGGAAAACAGCTTCAAAGTAGAATCTGGGTCCCGGCCTGGTGTTCCAAAAATAGGAATCCTCATCACTGATGGGAAATCCCAAGACGATGTGATTCCTCCTGCCCAAAGCTTGAAGAATGCTGGGATAGAACTATTTGCTATTGGTATGTCCTCTCTGTATTAACTCATATATTTTCTGTCATATCAAGTAAACATGTTTTGGGATGAGAGCTCAATTTTCTGTACGGTCCCTTGGTGCTCTGAATAGTGGAATAACCGTTGGCTCAATAAAAGGATTGGAACACCCTGCCACTGGAAACACTTCAGCAACAGTGCAGACAGAGTGTCTGCATAGTGTAGCCTGAGAATACTTATTGGGTTACTGTTTTGTATATATGCAAAGTAGTCTACAATATTGGAATACTATTTAAAACACATTTTTATTAACTACATTTGTTGAGTTAAACAGTTTATATAGATTAATTACAAACATATTTTCAAGCCTCTCCTTTTTAAAAAATACATTTAACGGTCTCTAGGCAGATGTTGCAGGTTTGCAACAGCTCGGTGCTACTTAGCTAGTCTTCGCAAGTAATTTGATCCTGAGAGGGTTAATTAAAAGCTTAATATTTGAGATTAGAATATTACATAACACCAATGAAAAGAAAAAAAAACATAAATGTTGGCTTAATGAGAAGTATATTTATCACCTGGGGACAGGTTGTTATTTTTAAAAGGTACTGTTATTCTGACAAATGAGCATAAATGAGCATCATCAGAACGCGGATGCTGATTTATCTAGTATGACTGCATATAATGTATATAAGTATCCTACCTCTAACTGGGCTCAGTGGCATATAGAATGCATAGAATATTTTTTTAAGCCACCTTGTTTGAACATTAAAATGCAAGGAAGATAAGCAATTTGTGCTAAATTACAAGTTTTAAAATTCAGACTTTCACCTGTTGTGGAATTTAGACAAAATTTGTTGTATGTTATGCAAACATGTCTGATGATAACTCAATAATTAAATTCTTTATCCAATCTGTGAAATAAAATTCTCTCTTTCCTTCTCCTTGTTGCATCATCATAAACCTCTCCTCTGCACCTTTCATGTTTTTTTTTTTTGCCTCACAGTCTAAAATTTTCTCTCTCCATTTCTGTCTCTCTCCTCTCCTTTCAGGTGTGAAAAACGCAGATGAAAACGAGCTGAAGGCCATTGCGTCTCCTCCCGAGGAGACTCACGTATACAACGTGGCAGACTTCAGTGTGATGAGTGACATCGTGGAAGGTCTCTCCAAGACCGTCTGTGACCGTGTGGAACAGCTTGACAGAAAAATAAAAGGTTCAACTCGGTTAATAAATCGTAGTGCACATTGGTTATGTATTAGCAACTAAATTCAGTGTCAAACTGCCAAAGCATTTTTATTTATTTATTTATTTTACATTTTGTTAATATTATTTATACAAATAGAACACTGCATGTGTCATTTCTAATTTGGTCTTTATATTTTGCAGGAGCAGGAGAGCCAGCTCCGCCCGTCACCTCTATTACACCTCCTCGTAATCTTGTGACATCAGATATAACAGCTCGCAGTTTTCGGGTTACATGGACTCACGCACCAGGCCAGGTTGAGAAATATCGAGTGGTGTACTACCCAGCCAGTGGAGGACAACCAGAAGAAAAAGTACTTGGTTTCTACTGTATTTCTATTTAAACCAAACTTCTCTCAGTTTTGTTGTGCAGTCTTCTCCCCATCTGGCAGTTTTATTGGATATGAAGTCAAGTGCATAACAATGCCTCCACACAGGAGGCTGCTGTATCATGGCACTTTTTTGGCATTTATTTAAATGTAAATTATGGAACCGTCTGCACAAATAAGAACTTTACCATAACTCACTTGGAGTGCTCATTACACTCCAAGTGAGAGGGTTATAGTTTTGGTCTGAATCTACTACCTCATGGTCTGTGCTGTTTCAAATTCTCTGATGACAAATTTATGTTGGTGCACCTGGACCACGTTTCATGAATTACCTGTCACTGTTACTCAATGTCTCACCCAGGACCATGATATATAGCCACCATGATAATAAACCACCATAACCTCCCTACTGAAGTTTTATGGATCTTTGAAACAGTTGGGGAATTCTAAAAATCAATCGTGCATGATGGGAAGCGTCTCAGGTTATTTCTAAATACTTCTCCAAGCGCTGACAAAAGCCACCAGTGACCTGAATGTTCTGATCTGTTGTGAAAGGAAACTGACTACAGTAAATATTTATGATTTGACCAAGATATTTTTTATCACATCTCCCATGTTCACTTAGCCAGAGGTATCAAGTCCCAAGTCTTAGAGAGTTTTCTTTAGGCACCTTAATTGATATTAGTTTGCAAGGGATTTCCCAGCACAAGGCAAATAAAACGCCTAAGTGTGGACTTAATGATGCCGTTTTTAATTAAAGCCGCTCTGCTAATCCTTTCAGGGTCACCTCAACAATTTCATTTCTTGGAGTGATCTGCATAGTAAATGGGGACTGTTCTGTGGAATTTGCCATTAGGGAATCATAAAATCACATGCCTCTTAATACTGAGGTAAACAAGATTGTATCTGCCTTTGTGTGCCTGCTGCTACATAGATGGGAACATTGAAAACATTAATATACTAAACAAATAAGGTAATAAACTGGACATTTTCAGCTGCTCGGAAGCTTGTTTGCGGTTTTATTCAATGCACCCTTAAGTCTTTTATCTGGTTACTTTATGTGTGGAACTTTTCTGTCACATAGTAAAAGTAGATTTAATCAAGTTTGCTTTTAAATTTGACTCTCCCTTAGACTTTTTCTGTTATTTATAAAAAGCTATGTCTGATTTCATTGCACCTCATCTGACAGTTTTTCATTTCAAATCTCTTTAAAGAACCACAAATTGTGGTGGCAAACGATGCGTTTGCAAGCTAGAAATTCTTGCAAGTAATTTATTTGACAATTAAAGGAAGAGAAAAACTAGAAATAAATTTTAGCTAAAACTATTTTGTGAGAAGATATTTGGTTGAAATGTTTCCTCCTTTTTTATTTTGAGCTGTTAATTTCTATAATTATTATATGTGTACTTGGTCATCTTTTGTTGCTTTTTGGCTCAGACTTTGACTTTATTTTTACTTCATAATATCTTTGGACATCTGTAGAAACCTGGACTGACTAGCTAATTCCAGGTTTTTATAAAGAATACAACACCCTTCATGCTTTTTGGCACTCTTAATAAAGATATGCAAAAAGCCCCAAACTAAATGATTATTCATTGCAGGTGAATAACTCACCATTAATTAAACTACATCCATTTGGTTAAAGAAATAAAATTTTAGGATATAAATGTGTAAATCCTTTTTTATGCATTGTATGTAATGTCACTGTAGTATTTTTAGAACTATAAACATTCATTTTTTTTAATTGATCCAAGCATTTTGGTAGTTTCATTTTGTAATCCAAGGCTTCCTGTTATCCCACTCTATAAATTAACCTTCATAAAAAGGTGTTTTTTTTATGGTCACTTAGAAATGTGAAAAATAAGACCTTGGCATTCAAGTAAGGTTAATTAGAGGTAAAAGCTACTAACCTAAACTTGCCCGTATTTATTAAAAAGCCTAAAACAGCCGGCACTGTGACAAAACAGATTGCTATAAGGAACCATGGCAATAAATAAACTTAATATGAACTTTTTTTTCTGTTTGTTTAGTGGTTGTAAAGCAGTCTTTGGAGATCCAGATTCTGATTTTAAGGCTGTCTTTCAGGTGGTTTTGGGGACAGAAAACAGTGTGGAGCTGACTTACCTGAACTCCCTCACAGAGTACCAGGTGGCCGTTTTTGCCGTCTACCGAAGCTCTGCCAGTGAGGCCCTGAGAGGAAGTGCCACCACATGTAAGCATTACGGAGAAAACCCATTTTGGCCGCTTTCGGTCATGACCCAAATGCTCATGACCATAGATGAGGGTGCGAACATAGATCCACCGGTAAATCTAAAGCTTTGCTTTTTGACTCAGCTCTCTCTTCATCTCAGCGGACCGGTACAGCGCCCACTTTATGTCTTATGCAAAAGCATTAAACATTAAAAGGGAGCCATAAACAGAATGTAGGAGTTCCATTAGGCATAAAAGGGCTTATCCTACTAATCAACAGATAGTTTTGCTTAAGTTGCATGAGGAATCATCCTGACATGCCAGAGCAATCTGTCCTGTGTAATAGCTGCTCAATTATCAAAATGAGAAATTCCTCCCTGCTGGTCAAGAAAGAAAATTAAGTAACAGGTTGACCTTGCTCTTGAATATTGCCACGAGGGATCCTGATTGGTTTTTTAATGTGCAGATATGTGGTCATTTGTTTTCTATTTTGATCAACATATTGACTGTACATTTATAAAGTGGGTTAGTTTTTAAAGTGGTAAATTTATCAGAGTGATATGTGTCTTTGTCTTGCAGTGGCCCTGCCCACAGTGAACAACCTAGAGTTGTTCGATATCACCCACAGCACCATGAGGGTCCGCTGGAAGATCGCCGCTGGGGCTTCAGGTTACATGATCCTGTACGCCCCGCTGACTGAGCAAGAAGCTGCAGATGAGAAGGAGGTAAACAGGTCAACAAAATGTGAAAATGAGAAAATTTATAAAGCAAACAAAATAATGGAAGTAACACATTTCTTAGAACCTTTCTGCACTTTTTATAGGCTCATTTACCCATTATCGTCTGCTTAAAAACTGCTACATTTTTCAGGTCTGATCAGGGTAAATGTCTAAAATGTCTTTTTTAGGACTGAGTAATGTTCAGTAAATACCTCTTGTGAAAACCTGGACTAGACATGATTGTCAAAGTGAGGAAATTATTTTAATGTGGACTATATATTATAGGTAGGTTCACAGTATCATGCAGCTGCTGGTTGAGCAATCAACCCTCCATCAATCAGCTAACTCTGTAGTGATCACATGTCTTCATACTGAGAGATGGAAAAGAAAAAATATAAAATTGTATTTTGAGAAAAAAATGAAACTTGATGGAAGACTGAACAAAAGGGACATTTTATACAAAAAAACATACAAAAAACCATTTTAATACATCTAATGTGATGCAATTGTACATTTTATGTAGAAAAGCTACTTCCTATATTTTGTCTTTATGTTCTATTAAAAAAAAAGTCAATTTCATCCAAGATATTGAGGCACACATTTCTAAAATAGCAACATAGAAATAAGCCACTGGTACAGGAAATTGTTGTTCTCTCATTTTCTTCTGTGCATTGTGTGAAATAGTATAGCAAATTCTTATGCCATTTTGTATTCCTTAAACTGTTAGAAAATGAAGCAGAAAGACAGCAATTGTAATCACTGCAATGACGGGCTGATTGTGATTCGTTCAGCACATCAGAGCATCATTTTAAAAGGATGATAAAATCATCAACTCTCTCTGCAGTTCTGGAAAATGAGTCACACATGACAGAGGTGTGACTCATGTCACCACTGTGCCTTTAAGAGGTGGAAAAGGCACAGCCAGTTGTACTCACCCTTTCCCATTAGACCTCATTATTCCTGCCTTTGCTATCCCCTGCAGGTGGAAGGCAATAAAAACAATTCATGAAGGAGTTAAGCGTGGAAATGGATGTGTTTCAGAAGCAAGATGAGTTTGACTCTGTGGTTCTAGTGTCATAACTCAAAATGTAGCAGATTTCAGCTGCACTCAGATCCCTTTCTGGGATTTGGGATTTAATTTGAGGCCAGTTTTTTGAGACTGGGGGAAAGTGAGATTTAATTTAGAGTAAAGCAAAATGGGGAATTGGAGATTGACTTAATCTCCAAGTCCAAAAAGCAAAATAAATTATTTACAGTGAAGCTCAATATTACAATAATTCAGTGAACCCCATTCTAAAATTTCTGAACTATACCTTCCAAGCAACTTGAGCAAAGTTTACAACATGCTAAACTTGCACCAAACATGTGAGGTGATTGGAGTTTATACTGGCAGTGTTCACCCCACTCTAAGGTGCACAGCCATATTTGATCTTGTGGGTTGAACAAATAATTCATCAACCTCTTGCACAGCTTCCAGAAGTTTGTTGACTCCATGCAACACAGGTGTAAGGCAGCTCTGCGAAAGTAAATATTTGATTCAGAGAAAGGCTAAATGTGCAAGCATTTTTTATTAAGTTTTAAAAGAAAAATGTGGCCAGTGCTCATAATTCAACACCCTTATAATCATTTTCTACCACCTTCTGTTAATTAATGACAAATTTAATCATTGAATTTTTCCTGTTTGGAATATGAAAAGAATATAGTGTTTTCATCGCATATTCATGTTTAAAATTAAAACTTTTATAAGGATATTAAGCTTGATTTACTTTTTACATCAGTATGCAGGTGATAGACAAAAAGGCAACTGAACAACCAATTTTGGTCTGTAATTGACAGATTCATTTTTGTTGTAACAATTTTCTTTTGAAAAAAATAATAATTAAGTTGCTCACAGCTCTCAGTGTTGAATCAGCAGCCTTGAAAGCATCTTTTTGAAAAGCTGGAAGGCCTTCATTACGTGACTGGGTGGCTCCATTGAGAAGTTTTCAGTTCTCAACCTTCTTACTGAGTCTCATATTGTCTCATTTTACCTTGACTCTGCTGAAGCTTTTCTGACCAAGCTATGTATATGAAATCATAAAATGAAATCTGATTTAATGAAATAAAATCAAATGAGGGGACATATGAACTCATAGGGTCACAGCTAGACCCTATGCTTGTTCGAAATGTATGGGCCGGTTGGATTGATATGATGGAATCACAGAGAGATGATGTGAACAATTCAAACAGGAGTCGAAAGATGTTGGAGTTAAAAACACGGCATTAGTTTTCAGATAGAGGCATTCATACTGTTCTGCTCTGTGTCTGTGTGTGTGCAGGTGAAAGTGGGTGATTCTGTAAATGAGGTGGAGCTGGAAGGGTTAACTCCAGCCACTGAATACACAGTAACAGTTTATGCCATGTATGGAGAGGAGGCCAGTGATCCCATGACCAGCCAGCAGACCACATGTAAGTCTCCATCAAACATTCTTCGAAGACCCTCTCTACTGTCCATGCTCTGTTAGCCAATGCAACAGAGTGTGTTTTCACATTTTATTCCACAGATAAGCTGTGATTCTCATTTTTCCAAAGCTTTTTCATCTAATAGTTCAAATATTTTTCTGTACATTTTCTTATTAATGACTCTGTGGCACAACCGCAGTGCAAAAATGCTCATACTCCTCTTGCTTATGTTGGAATCACAAACTTCAAAATAAATTATAAATTGAGTCTCAGTAGGATAGTTTGCTATGCTAGTAAGTGAACTTGTACTTGCATTCAGCCTCTTTAATTGGATATCCATAAAAAATACATTGCAGCAAACTGTCTGGAGAAGTTTCCTAATTGACATAGCAGCAAAAATTAAAGTAATATGAATATATAAGTAGTTTATTTCTCTGTCAGTAAAGTGTTAGCAGTTTAATCTGCCAAAATATTGAAAATGTCAAATGAAGTAAAACCACTTTAATACTGAATATTAAGATGACACTTTGGGATGTCGTATGTAAAACATCTTTTGTAGCTTTAATTGAGAGGCTTGGTGGTTCTGTAAAGAAATCTGGACGAGTCTGCAAAGCTTTGAGGTAAATTGTGTTAAAGATAGAAGAATTAGACTTTAGGTAATCTATATGTAATGTAGTTAATAAAAGGTTTCTTACTGCTTTTTATCACCTTCATCTCAATTTGCTTTCATTCTCATTGGTGCACCTCGCTCTACTCGAGTCATTTTAATATTTTTCTTGCAGCTGCCTGCTGTTCATTTGGAAAGAAATCAAATCACTTATTGAAGAGACTTCCGTTTATGCATGAAGCACACTTGAATTCACTAATTTTAGCTTGTTTTTAGATCTGTATAAATATCTGAGTTGTAGGACTTTGATAGAAGGAAGCTAAATTTCTAACCCAAACACTTTATCAGATACATTTTTCTGATTAGGTTTTAGTCTTGACTCGAACATTTATCTAATCAGCAGAATGAGCTGTTGTAATTATATTTACTTTAGATTTTTACCACCTTCGACTTTTTTCATTTAGCTTTACTAGTGCAATTGTGACATGCTCAAATGACGTTTCTGGTGCGTCTTGCTTTTTTCACCATCAAAGAAAACTCTCAGCCTCCCATCCTTAAATCTGTTTCCATCTGTCTCTCTCCCAGATATTTTCTGCATGTGGCTCTAAATCCTGAGCCCTGATTAGAGTCTGTTCCTGTTTAACTGTCTCCAAATCCTTACCATTCTTACTAATTTGTGTTTTATTGCATCTCCAAAAAGGAGTGAGGAATGTGGCTTTAAGTCAGGGAATGCTTATGTCAAGTCCAGCAGCTGCATACATATAGTGTTTTTCCAGTGGAAGGAGACAGACAGCTTTCTCAGTTGACTTCTCATGAGATATTGTTCCAGGAACAAGTCGTGCATTCTCTATTTATTGCACGGTTATCTCTTTAATCATTTTTTTTCAAGCAATACCTTATTTTGTGTCTTTGAGCTCTGACTCAACTCATCTCTATACAAACTTTCTGGTGTTTTTTCTAACTATATGTTTTACACAAAACAAATTCAACTAAAACTTTGGGTTTTGTAAGCAACTTTAAAAAGTAAAAACTACTGACAAATGATGCTTAATTGCAATAATGTTAGTGAGTAATGTAAGTGGTTTCTTTCCACCCTTGCTGAGATGTATCATCAGAATCATCCAAAAGCTACATTTCTTGTCACCTGCTAAGCCTCATCATGCAGCCGGACGATGCCTGATGGAGGTTTAATCTGCACTTATTTCTTCTTTTCATTCAGCTCCCACATCTCCCCAAAACCTCTCATCCCTCATTTTGCTAACAGACTTGACAAAATGAGGGCCTGTCATCTCTTCCATTGTTTAGCCATAATGCACTCTGATGATCACTGTTGTGTAAAAAGCAGATGCAAATGACCTTGATAAAAATGCAGTACAACAGAGTAAACAGAGCAGAGCTTCAAAATAAGATCTCAAGCTAGATGTGATGAATATATGAGGAAAGCATTTTGTGTTTTGTTTCCATTATGACATGCACTGCATACTGAATTCAAACTATAAACACAAAATGAATATCTTTATCACTTATCCACGTATCAAGAAGTTTATACTTATTTTCATATAATCCGATGACACACAATACAAGTGCTGTGAATAAGTAATGTCTGACTACTCTTATGGAAAATATACATTTTCTTCCACTTGTTGAAGAGTAAATTACTTTAAAGAAAAGAGGTGATTATCATTAATTAAAAAAAAGTTTTTATTGGCTCAAGTGGCCTTTATTTGATAGTTAACTGACAGGACAGTGGGTAATGAGAGAAGGGGAAGACATGTGACAAAGGTCGCCAGGCTGGGAATCAAACTCCATGTATGGAGGACCAAAGCCTCCATACATTGGTTGTGCTTAACCTCTGCACCCCCACAGCACACCCATTATCATTTATTTTGACTTATCTGTGCCTTTCCTCTGGGTCTGTCTCGGTTTCGACCTGAGTTCCTGAAGTATTTGGTGTATGATTAAAGAAGGAACACCGGATTTATCTGTACTTTATGAAAGTACAAAAATTCCCAATACAGAAAAATGATCCATCTTTAAAAATAAAAATGATCCCTTCTGCAAAAAAAGTAAGTTGCAGTGACATTTAAGGAAGTATTTGCAAACCAGCAAGAATTATGAAACTTTGCAAACTTTCCTATCTTTCCACCTTTTTTAATTTTCCATCCTGCTGACCGAGGCACTGTAAAAGCAGTGGCAGTATCTCCTCCCTTGCCTCATTTTTCCACTATCTCTCTACTAGTTTGTCTTTGCTCTGACCCTCTGTATAATTGAGGTGAAGCAATGGAGAGAACAATCAGGGGTTTTCTCCTCCTCCTCTTTTTTTTCTTTTTTTTTTTTAGAAACAGATCAGTAATTCGAAGCAGAAAAGTTTCAATGGATCAGACTAAATCAGTTTTCCAGGCTGAATTTAAAACCACAATGGGGATGACATTTTTTTTTAGTCCTTTGCAGGTCTTCCAAGAGAAAGTGGAAGAATTAAAGCAGAAGATGAAGTTGGAGCAAAGCCTCAGGGAGTGGTAGTGATGTAATGAGGTTTAGTCCACTTTATAATTAAAATAGCAGAGTCCAATAACTCTTGCTCTAAAACCCATGAGAGTGTGAGAGAAACAGGGAACGTAAAATCATGATCCCAGCAGCTCATTCTGTGTTAGTTGTTATGATTGTATTCATCTTTTTGCTCCTGACATGATTGATAGAAAGTCTTTTATTATTTTTAGTTTGAGCTTTTTCTTAAACATTTTGGTGTTCTTTCATCTAGTGTAATATTTTAAAGCAGAAAATAGTTTCCATTCACAGATTATTATTATTTTTTTCTGTGTAGTGCCACTCATCCCAGCAAGTAACCTACGTTTCCAAGACGTGGACCACAGCTCAGTTCGCATAACTTGGGATTCCCCTTCTAGGTTGGTGCGAGGCTACCGCATCATGTACGTCAAGACCAGCGGAGTCCAAACTACTGAGGTGAGCTTGTTCAGCTGACCCCAACTTCTCAAGGAGGCCAGCGAGACTCCTTTTGTTTTTCACTGTTAACCTGATGCTCCAGGCAAATGAAGAACAACACCAACCTCTGTGGATCTTTTCAAATTAAATTATATGTGTGGATTGTGTTGCACAGGTGGACCTCGGTGCTGTGACGAGCCATTTGCTCAAAAACCTGACCTCCCTGACGGAGTACACAGTCGGGGTCTTTGCTGTCTACAAAGAAGGAGAAGCTCCAGCAGTGACCGAAAGCTTCACTACAAGTAGGGATCATCACTTTTTGTGGTGGACAAAACAGAACCCTTTAAAGTGTGAAGAGACTGATGGTCTGTTGTTTTTTTTCTTATGTAGAGATGGTTCCAGACCCGATGAATCTGAAAAGCAGCGATATCTCCTCAGATGGTTTCCGGGTGTCATGGCAACACCCCGCCTCTGATGTGCTGCTGTATCGACTCACCTGGACGCCCACCGATGGCGGAGACAATGAGGAGGTTTGTTGAACTTTTTCATGATTAATCAAATTAATGAGTAAGTTTATTTTATCTTACTTTTTAAAATTATTATTCTAAATCATTTCCTCTATTTAATCTTTTTCTTCCATTTCATTTTTCATCTTGGGTTACTGTCATTTAATTTACTTTTCCATTATTTTACTTGTTTTATTATTTTATTTTATCTATTTTTGTTACATTTTATGCTGCATATCTATTACTTTAATTTATTTAATTAATACATTTATTTTTGGTCACCTATTTTTCAGCTCAACTATGTCACTATGCTTGCATCATAAATTCCTTCTAGTAGAAAAAATGCATTACAATTTTGGTCGGGATTCCACTTTGCAACAATCTGTTGGAGATTTTTGCAAAACCAAAGTAGACATTTCCATATGAAAGCCCAGATGCAATTAAACATCCCTCAGTTTGTGATGTGCTTTGATTTGCTGGATGATACTCCTTTTAAGTTTGTCAGAAATTAGATGAAAAAAATATACTTTGGAGACCTAGCAGTAGTGCACCTTTTTATGGAGTTCAAACATAAAGAAATGATCAAAGTGTTGAAAAGCTTTGTGATTTGGCAGCTTTCCATTTATTTCCCTAAAAGCTTTACATTTCACTGCAGCAAAATAACAGGATTCAACTGCTCAGAACTAACAAAAGAAAGTTTCACATGAAAATTTAATTATTTAATTTCTGGTTCTTCTACAGTCTCCTTTAAATATGTTTCAGTCATTTCCCTTTGCTGAATAAAGAGCTTCAGCTTTCAAGGACTTCCACTATTTTGAATCCACTAATATGACTGTCTGATTATTACTATATATGTATTTCATTTGTAGTCAAATTACATTTCTTTGAATGAGAAGTTGCAAGTGGAAGTGCAAAGGAATAATGAAAACTAATCAGAGATTTTAGGTAGGATGGAGAAGAGTGGCATCAATAAAGGGGAGATTGACCATATGGTAGTGAGACCTGCTCTGGGGTCTGGAGGAGGTTTGGAGATGAAGGCATTAACTAAATCTATGAAGGCTGAGTCAGAGGTGTTAAGTGAGGGGAGCTGTTAGAGAGACAGAAGTGATATAATTAGGACCTGCAGAGGAAGGCTAGTTAGACTACAATAGTTGCTCAGTGGGAAATTCAGGTGTACCAGCAGCAAAATAAAAGGCAAAATGATTATACTAAATTAGAAATTAGAACAAAATGCTGTACAATAAGAGACCAAGTTGAAGGCAGATCTTACAACTAGAGAAGGAACTGATGAAATTCAAGAAATTATGCATTTTTTTTGTTTTAATTTATGTATAAAGCTCAATTTAAGTTTTTTTCTTTACATCTGTTTTTTTTTTTTATCATTCTGAAAATCACTCAGGTCTTTTTGCAAAGAGATCCTGGCTTATATCTACAGAAAAGCTAGGATAAAATTTATTTAACAAATCTCTATTTGTCCTTAAATTTTAGCCAATTTGCAATTATTTGTTTTAATTGTATAACTTTATTCTGGATTCTGCATAAAACTTCATCTATTCTTTATTTTAATTTCTTGAGCTTATAATTTATGTTAATTTTTGTGGTCTTTTACTGCTATCTTCATAAATAACAATTGGAAAAAAATATGAAAATAAATGCATCACCATAACTTTGAGTTTATTATTGTTATCAGCAGAAGAGATGAGGGTAACATTATTGTCTGTTTTGTACTTTAAGCTTTGCCGTTAGGGAAGTAATTATTTTTAATGCCCTTCACTTTTTTCTGCTGCTGCTTTTTTTTTTTTACCTTGCTAAAAAATGTTGCCCAATAAATCAAATCAGACCCCACTGCAAAATCAATGTGTGCTAAATCACAAGAGACTGCTTGCATACAATATTTCCTTGACCAAAGGACATTTTAAGTGAAAACCCTGCAGGCTGATATTATAGATGGCCTCATCTATTATAAATATTATTGACTCCGGTTAGTAGTCACTTAATTGTAGCAACAATATCACCACAAACCTGGAAAATAATATCATAATTTCCTTTTATGGTTGATTTTACTGCGACTGTAGATTCTAACAAAACCCAAATCTGAATGTTCTTACTATTTCAAAGGGGAGTGTTTTTTTTTTTTTTTCTTAATTGCTATTCAGTGTACCTGAATAACACTAAAGTTTTATTTTTGATCTTCTTTGGCTGTTTAGCTGTGCACAAGAGCATCTAAATCCTAATTTCCCATGTCTTTGTTTTAGGTTCTGGTGAATGGAAACATCAACACCTATCTGATTAAAGAACTTGAACCCGCCTCCGAATATGAAGTCCTCCTGGCTGCTATCTACGCAAATGAGGTTGAGAGTGATGAGATGGTGCTAATAGAAACCACTGGTAAATTTAAAAACCTCTCATGGAATATTAAAAAAAAAAGTTACACTTTCAAATTTCAATTTCTGAGATTAACTTGATTTCAATAAAATAAAATCATTTTATTGAAATCATTTCATCCTTTTCAGCTAAGAGGACAACTACAGTTGCTACAACAACCACAACGACATTAAGTAAGCCTTTCAGCCACTACGTGCTGTTTTACTTTCCTTTCACACTTATTTACTTTGCAGATCTTCCTTTTTCCAATTTTTGTTAATTGTAAACATTATACTTCCTCTTGGACCATAGACTTTTTATAATCTCTTTATATACACCTCCCATAGAGTGTCTTACAAATGTACACATACCCATTGATTCTTTTAAAGATCTATCTTGTGTATAATCATAAATGTTATTGTATTTTATTATGCTTTTGTGTGGAAGACCAATAAAAAAACTGCATAATAGTGTGGAGGATGTAAAGTATAAAACAATAGGGACAGGGCAGTTTATCAAAGTTAAATGCACATTTAATTTTGGTAACCATTTATTCTTTTTTCCACTTCTTAATTATCCACATTTTCTACACTGTCACTGGGATCTGTTAGTTTTTAAAACATGAAAAGAAGCTTTATATACTATGAAGGTTACTGAAAAAATCAGGCAAAAGCTAATCTGGTGAGAAGCTTTTTGGGTTCAATCTCTATTTCAAATCTGTTTCCACATCTTTAGATGTGAGGCTTATCTCCCATCATGAAAGTTTGTGATACCTTCTGGTTTTGATATCACCAAGACACCATATGAATTTGAAATAAATTAAATGTCAAAAGATTTTGATATCATCTTCTTCCATCTCGCAGTATGACAGTTTTGTGCTTCACTGAGTTTCTCTGACTCTGATCTGCTGAGCGATTTCATTTATTTATTCATATTTTCTTTTCTCCGTTCCTGATCCTCCAGCACCTCGTTATGCTGTGAAGAACCTGAAGATCGATGAAGAAACCACATTTAGCATGCGGGTGTCGTGGCAGGCTGTAGACTCCAGAAACATCCGTCATTATCAACTGACCTACATCAGTGCCAGGGGAGACAGAGCAGAGGAGTCGGTAAGGAAGACAGCTTTATTTTAATTCTGTTGTTTTTTGGACAATTATTAAAGCTATAATCTGCTAAGTATACTGAAAACTCCAAATGGGGTTAGTACTGAGTTACCAGGAAGTTTGAAAGATAAAGGTAAAATATCTAAAATATTTGATGTAATTTTGTCTATAATTACCAATAAATGAAGAGCATAGGTCAAGTGGAAATAACTGGCTGCTGTGGGAATAACTAAAGATGACATTTCTTAAGTAAAGGACAAATGTAAAATGCTTATCATTTGTTGTCACTGTACATAAAGTACTAAAAGCTGTAGAAGGGGCTGATGAAAAGTCAGTCCCCAATACACGGCAGGCCTTCAGTTTAACAGACTTCTTTTGGGAACAAAAGTGGAAGGGGAGATGAAATGTTGCTGAAGTTCATGGCAGTTCTTCACACAGAGTTTTGTGATAGAGAAGAAGATAATGATGAAAACACTGTCAGATCATCAAAGACTCTGTTTGATTAGATGTTGAGAAAAATGGAGAGAGTGACTGGATTCACTCTAATGAGCCACAAGAGACAAAGTGGAGCAGGAAGATTTGGAGAAAAAAACTGATGCAGAAACACAATTCTGCATCAGTAAACATCTAAATAATGTTTACTCTATTTAGATTTTCTTTATGTCAGCAGTTTTGACAGGTGTACAATAAAACAGAAAACAGATGCCAATCTAAAATTATGATGTCAGTTGACTTTGTAACTCAGGAGAAATTGAAACGAAGGACAAAAGAAAATGATTTCAGGTATTGAGCATTGTCATTGGATGTTCATTTACAGAAGTTGTGACCTCAAATAAGGAAATATTTCAGTAATGTCAGAAAAGGGTCTCCAGAGTCATATTAGTCATAGGATTCATAACAAAGAGTGATAAGAAAACTCTTTGTTTTCAAAAAAATTTGGCAAGGCAGTATTTGAAATATTTTCAAAATTGAGTAATTAAATTGATAAGTTCCCATATCATAATCCTGCTTAAGCAAACTTCAGGGAATTTACCATTTAGTTTACAACAGTTTTTGAAAATGAATCTAATTTTTTTTAAACTTTTTTTTTTATTTATTTAGAAGCTACCTTCTGTAAACCATTTATTTATGATTATTGAAACCATTTTTCAATTAACTGTGATGCCCCTCTCACACTTCTCTATGCAGAATACATTTCACAGATTGTCATTGTTTGTCACAGTTAGTTATTTCACAGTAGGCTGTAGATATGAGAACATTTAGGCAAGTTGGTAATTTCTTGTTGCCACTTCATGAAAAAATTAACTAATCTAAGATATTCTACTCTTTTTTGGAGGTAAATAGGGAGCGTTTTAACTACTGTTTCTTTTTTTCCCCTCAACTAAAATACTAATTTTATCACAAATTAGAATTTTATTTACAAAATTTAAATAATCATATCCTGCTTTTATAACTAAAGCAACGTGATGTATGACTTGTGAAGGGCCTAAAGGAAGGTAGCTAGGCTCAGAGATGCAAAATAAAATGGTTTCAGTATCAACTTAAGAAGAAAAAACAGAGTTAAGCACTAAATGAGTTAATCCAAATGGTGGTAAGACAGAAAGGAGAAGTGGAAGTAAGCCAAACACAAACAGCAAAACAAGCATGAATGGAGGAGAAAAACACAAAAACAATGAAAACCAGTGTGGCTGACAAATAGAGAATCCTTTCTCTTATGCTATAGCCTTAATACCCAAGTGCTCTACCATATATTTTGTCCTAGCTTTATGTGCACTTCATGTCATGGTAACTGTTGTGCAGTATCTGGACAGCCTATCATATTTTAATGAGTCTGAACTGGCAGTCGAGTATTTGTTAGTGTTGATTTGTGGCATCGCCCCAGCAGAGGACGCCGTACCTTGGTGGTCCGCTCTGGACACAGGTCCCACAGCAGCTTTTCATCCTGACAATAAAGAGCTGCCAGCTGTTCACACCAGCAGCTTGGTAAATGAGATCTCTTATCAAAGTGCTAGCAGCTGGGAGCTCCATTCGGCAGTCCGGTCAGGTTATGAATCGCCAAGTGCTGCACTCAACACACACTGTCTAAAGAGCTTGGGAAAACAACTGCACAGCTTCCTACAAGTGTTCCCTTTGAGGAAGCCACAAGCCACCGAACCAAACCATGGAAAACTGAACAATGATGCAATACTTTATGAAATGCTTTTCTAAATGTTCAAATTATGAACAAATTCTGTATTAAGTGCAGATAACCATGAAAAGAACATATTAAATTTAATTGCTTGTTTTTTCTGAAACTTCCCTCTCTAAGCCCCTCAAAAGATGTAATTTTTTGAGGGGCTTGTAACTATTACAAGATTTTAGTTCATGAAAATATGAAGTCAGCTTGGCTTTAGGTGTCTTTCACCTTTTCCCAACCACTTTTGTTTCCAATCAAGGGGTCCTTGGAGTGATGATTGTTGCTGCCAACTTCATTGCATCAGTTTGTTTTGCTGCCTTTTCTCTGTACCCATATTACCCTTGAATTTCTATCATCTGTGCAGACTACCTTTTTAATAGCTCACTCTTGTTAATTGCAATTACCTAAACAACTCAAACAATCTTCAAAACAAATTTATTTTCTTGCCAAACAACCATGATTCAGTTTACATTGAGATAGTATATATGATGCTACGCTTCAGTCTGTCTGAGTTGTACAGTCGTAAAGAAAATGTCTCAAGATCACGGTAGTCGGTGTACATTTACCCTACAAAAACTAAATGTCAACATCCCTTCAGTTTTTTTTATACTGGTAAATTCTTTAATTTATTAAGTTTATAAAATAAATAAAAGATGCATTTTTTATTTTAAATGAAACATTTTTGCATGTAACAGCTTTGCAAAAGCAGTATTGGTTTCTTCAGGCATCAACATGTCAAATGATGTTGGTTGTATTTTCCCGACTATGAGGGAATGTGGAGCATCCACTGCCACCCCAAAACCACAAACCTCACATCCTCAACAAATCCAAATTTAAATCCTGGTTGTGTCTCTGCCACTGTTTAACCAGATGTGAGTGTGTACAGGGTAACCACAGGGTAACTCAACTCTGCAGCCATCTGTTCGCAGGCAGCTGTGATGCTTAAGTCACCAAAGTCGCTCTGCCGCTGAATTCAGTGTGTAATCAACAAAGGCTTTCGGGCATCAAATGCACTTCTGTATGTGGTAACAGAGTTCTGGCTATTTTCACTTTGCAAGCAAATTTTGTTTTAGGTGCTAAAAACTTTTAACAAGGACGAATGGAAAAACAGAAGGTATACTTTTAGTAAAACACTGATTGAATGAAACAGTGTGGGCAGAATCAGCAGATTTTTGGAAATGGTCATTTTTACATTTATTTATGTTATTTTGTTCCCTGAAGGAATTCTTTAAGATCTCTACCTCCTTGAACTTATTATTCTTCTATTTTCTTTATAGAAGAAACTGAACTAATCTGTCTCAAATTTCATTAGAGACACATTTTCATAAACAGAGATCTCTCAGAAGGATTGATATTCTGTGATCCTTGTACAGTTAGACAAGAATTTGATAGATTTTTTTTTGTTTTTTTAGCAATATGCCTAACAGTCTGGGTTTTCATTTGCCAAAAATATTCTGCCACCTAACATGAACAAAGTCACAGTGTTGTTGAAAGCTGTAGCTGGTAACTTGTAACTTTCTGAAATAGAAAGTGCTTTTCCTCTCAGGGTTTGAGTTTTTGCAGTCATTGTTGAATCCCCGTCACATGTTTACAATTTCACTTATGTGCTCATTTTAATTACAACTTTTACTCTTCATACTTTCCAAGGTCTTCCTCTATTTTTTAAATCTGGCATGGAAACACTGCAGGCACGTTATACTTTAAATTAAATTCCATACAAAATTGGGCTTATTTGAGATTTTTGCACTTATTTGAATAATTATATTTTTATTTATTTATAATTTTGTGGCACCAAAATGAGGTTTGTATAAAGACTTGATTTATTTCTGGCAGTGTAGCTCCTTGACAGTTTGGAGACTTGCTACCTTTTTCATCAGACCGAGCCGAAATTGAATCCTCAAGGCTCTCAGTGTTTGTCTGAATGACACGTCTGAAAAAGACTTTTCTTTTGAGATGGAGAAAAAAAAGTTTGCAGATGGAGTAAGGCCAGACTGTGCATGCCCTGAATGCAAACTGGCAGTCTCAGGTAGGGTGAGACAAAGATTTCTAATGGCCAGAGCAGAGAGAGGAATCTAAAAGTGAGTCACAGCTACCTACAAGTATCTCTTTTTTTGGTGTAGAGATTGATTTCTTCTTGGTTTTTGCTCTTGCAAAACAACAAATGCAGTAATTGCTGAGAAAGTTTGTTCTGCCAAGTATTGATTCTTTGAGGCTTTTTAAAAATACACACATTTAAGATTTTTATTTATATATAATGCTTAAAAACTTGTAGTCTTTTGCTCCCGATTCACAATTGCACATCACTACTCAAAAAATTATCACTATCACAAAAAATGCACCTAACATATATAAAATGTATATATTTTGGGTTTTACATCACTCCGCAAAAGGCTGATGTTGTGGTCCAGTTTTATGAATTGTTATTTGTAAGATGAAAACAGGACATTTCTCAATTAGGTTTTCCCAATTGAGAAATATATTTCAAATGGAAGATGAATTTGATGTTACATCTTGAGTTGCTGATTCAAAAATGGACAGTAAAATGCAGTAATAAGTATGTTGGACCCATGAACAGAAGTTGATGGAGTGAATGAAAAAGAAGGAAAGAGAAGCACAAATAAAAGATGCCTACTTGATTAAGAGGCAGATTATCTGATCTGCATTTCGTAGAAACCGTTTCACCGGGATGAATAAATCATTTGTAGATCTGTTTTAAGAAAAGGTCAGCTTCACTCATGAGAACAAACCTAGACAAAATTAACCTCTGCAGCCACTAAAATCTAAAGGCGTATAAAAATGTAAAAGCGTGCTATAGCAACTCTCAAAAGCTAACCTTTTATTTTATTTTATTTTATTTTATTTTTTTTTTGTAGTTGATTGTCAGGATTCCTTAGATTCATTTACCTTTTCGTTCTTTCTGTTACCTATTAAAACACAGCATGTCAACTTTTTAAGTAGAACATGAAGATTTGCAAAGCAATCATTTCCTCAGATGTCGGTGACTCCTTCAAAAGAGTTAAAGTTTTGATTTGCTTTGCATCAGTACATATTACAACCAGATTGTTTGCCATGTATTCCTTTTTTTTGCATGAACGGACAGGTTTTTGAGCATGTATGGAAAAAAAATCATGATTACGTCTTTTTAAATTTGTGACAAAAGATCAGACAGTATCTGAATATTTGACCAATCATGTTGGCAGCTTTAGTTTGATTTTAATTTTTTTTTTTCTCCTCTGTTTTCAGAGGACGGTGCCCTCAGGTCAAACCAGCCTGGTTCTGCAGCCTCTCCTTTCAGACACACAGTACAAAGTCACTGTGATTCCTGTTTACAATGAGGGAGATGGCCCTGTATCCTCAGAAATGGGTCGGACACGTAAGTCTCAAGTTATAAATTGCTATATTTTAATCTGAGCATTGATGAAAATCAATCCTGTGTTTTGTTTTTGTGGGAACCACACTAATAATTATTCTTGTCTTTCTTACATTCACTTTATTTCAGGTTTACACCCTTGAACAATCATGCTGTTTTGTTCTGGGTCAGACTGACCACTCTGTCGTGGTCTGAACTTGATTCGTGTGAAAAGCCTGTTAAAGACAGAACTATACTCCCTTTAGAGCTGCAGACTGAGAAAAATGGTAAAGTCAGTGGAGTTTTTGAGACTAGAAGGCATGACAGTTCATAGCAAATAAAATAGCCTAACTGAGTTATTTAAACATTAGATTATTTGGTCAAACCAAAAGAAAAATTTTAGTAAGTTTAATTTGAATTTTGCATTCAGGCAGAAGAACATTGGACCCAAATAGAAGTTATTTTGTTTGTTTTTAAAGCTATCAAATTCTGATTTATTGTTGTATTATTGCTTTTTACATGCACAATATGTTTAATGTTTTAAAATGTCAATGTGAATTTCTGAATCTTCACTATGATCTATATAAGAGTAAGTGAGCAAAACTGTCAGAATCATTTGAGATGCATAATAGCACCTATAATGTGGATAATGTTCACTGGATAATGTTCCTTACATAAAACAAAAAAAATGTTGAGCTGTAGACAAAATGGTAAAAATAGTTACTTTTGTAAAAATGAGCTTCTGAAGGGACATTTTCTTTAGGTTAAAAATATGGTCAAGGATAGAAACACTGAGTGTCAAATATGTATATTATTTCTGATCATAATGTCACTTGATATATATTTTAAACTTATAATCGTACCTTATCTGCTGGTAGCAGTAGTCCAGAGTCAACATTTCATTTACAGTGGTCAGTCAAAGACCAATATTGTATTATTTTTTCTCGTCTTTGAGGTTTTATTTGATAAAGTGAAATGGCCAAATGTGCCTTGAAATTTCGACTCCTCGTTCACATTAATGTTTATTCTTCATTTGCTGGCAGAGACTCAAAATATTTCACTGCTCAGGCCTGATCTGGTTGGGTGCAATTTTAATACCTGCTGATGCCAAAAGTTAAGCTTTGTCTGATTGAAGATGCGTCAGCAAACAGTTTGAGAAGTCCTCATGTTCATACATATCCAGGCTTTGGAGGGACATGTTCAGTATTGTGTGACTATTCAAACAGAGTAAAAAAATGAGAACTAGATTAACCACAAGCTAGTTATTTAAAAAAGCTTATCACACGCAAATAGGTACCTTCAAACTGATATTCTCCATCTGCTGTTATCTTCCCAGAAGTTCCTAACACATTCACATATACAGGCACCCTGCCAGGAATAATATTGTTATATAATGCCCCCATATTAATATAACCTTAACTAACTGCATCTGGCTGAAACCGCAGCCTCTTGCATTTTAGTAATCCCTCCCTGCAGTGCTTTAGAAATCTGACTCAACCACAGCCAAGTTCAGTAAACTGTGGTGTTTTAACATGCTTTAGTTCATTATTTCCTACGCATTTGTTGAACTAAATGTTTAATATTTACTAATCTCGTAAACCTTCTGCCTTTTTGGAATGTGTCCTCATTTTACACATAGTTCATATGATGAGAGTAATGATGTATTGGGGGCATATTAGCAGAAGCTTGACTAAGAAGCTAATGACATTAACTTAAAAAACTGAAAATGGTTGCTGTAGCCCACTTTTCGAATTGGAGTATCAGTGCCAGACACTCAAAGAGAAAACAAAATTCTTAATGATTTGAGATGAATGTTCACCTCAGAGTTGTCATTTGGACTGAGTTTTAGTCTTTTGGAAATATAAGTAACATATTAGCAGAAATGAGTAGGCAGTTGTTTTTGCTTGACAGAGCATTTTTCTTAAAATCTAATTAAACTTAATTATTTCTGTCGTGAAGCCTGAATGCATAGAGAAACCATTTAGTGCCACAGTTAATTTAAAAACTGTCATTTAAAAGTAAGAACATTTCAAATTTTGTCAAACTGTTAAAGTCTTATCAGCTCATTACTCCCGAAACAATTTGAAGTTACTACAGAAAAATAGCAGCCAGTTTCTGTGGCTGAAATTTCTACATTAATTACTTTTCCTGTGGAGCTGGAGACAAAAATGCAAGATAGTTATTTATCTTTTTTAAATGAAACTTTTTGCTTTAAATACTCAAGTAGGAGCTAATGATTTTGCTGTCAGCATGTGCATCACAGAGCAAACACTTGACTTTCAGTTAGAAAGTAACTCCAAATTCCGGTCATTTGTCTTTCCCCTCCATCCCATCGCTTCTCCCTGAGCGGCGCATTACACACATTAGCAGGCCTTAACGACGTTTTCCCGATTTTTCAATGATGGGTCTCCAACACTTGGTGATGATGAATGGTTCCTGTTAGCAAGTGAGGGATGAGATGATCCCCTGAGGAAAAATGGCACAGAATGCAGAGAGGGGGTCCATTAGTTTTTTTTTAGAGTGAAGACAGATGATGAGACAAGGGGAGCTGGTGTAATCTGGGATCTGAACCGGAGAGAGGTGGGTTTGACACAGAGGGAGGCATGACAGAGGGGGTGATTGGGTATTTAGAACCACAGCGACGATAAATAATATGACAGCTGAGGCCGACTAATCTGAGCTTCTGATCCACTGTGGAACGGGTTGATTAGCTGAAGAAGTTCTGAGGTTATTCAGCGAGTAGGATAAGTACTCCCGGCATGAAAGAACTACAATAAACTACAGTCTGTATAGTTTTCAGTAGTGATAAAAAAAATTGCAAACTGGTCAGAGACTCTCAGCCGTTTCACTGTTTTCCTTTGTGACAAATTAATTCTGTAAATGCTGCATTTGTGTTCAAGATGTGAGATGTGAGATTTCTAACCACGATGTGAGATTTCTCTGTTCATGAGTAAGCTAATTTCTTAAACTGACATTTCACTCTGATCTGGTGGTGTGACCAGCGAAGAAATGTTCTGCATAGGGTTACCAGCATTGCTAAAATCTAATATAAAATTACGTTTAAGAAATAACAAGTGACATAGTTACATCCTTATATGATTTGTAGCCATTCAACAATGCATGAAATATACCTCTGCCATGACCTGAGGCATTTCAAAAGTGTAGAAAATTATACGATGTCAATGTTTAAAAGATAAAAGTGGAGTTATGTAAATTATCTAGGTTAAAGTTAAAGCTCTTCCTTCTGAACTGGCTAAAACTATGTCAGTGTTTTTCCCTTGTTAAAGAGAAACATTTACTAGTTGGAGGAAATGTCACCTGAACATGCACAAATAACTGTCTGCATATCCTTATTAAAGTGGCAAGTTTACTATGTAAAAAAATCTTTTCACATTGAAAGAATTTGACTTTGTAGATGGAATCAACTGATTCCACTTTCAATGCGGCATTATGTCTTGTTCAATTCTACTGAAAATAATATGCTAAGGGAAGCAAGTCGATATGCTTAATGGTAGGACTGGTTCACTATATGTTTGAGGCTCTGATGCAGCCTTTCTAGGTTTGATTTCCTAACCCAGTCTTATTTTCTGAAAATAAGAGAAAGAAGCATTGGACATTACCATAAAATATTATAACCACAGTGAAACGGCGCTAGCGTCATGACCTGGAGTTTTTCTTTTCAGATGAAATTGAGGTGGTTGTTGTTAAGATGGATGAAATTATAATCAGGTCAAAATGGCAGTTTGTTTTGATCCAAGATCTTCATCAAAATGAGGAGAGGCTTCATTTTTCACTATCAAATTGAGTTTAAGGAGATGCCAAAAACAATAAAAGTCAAAAACTAAATTTGGTGCAAAATGTATGGGCTCGCCTGAAGAGAGACGACTTCAAAACTGGAGTCTTGGGTCGACTGGATTGAATATGGACTAATGAATACTACATGACTCAACAGTCATGTCTCTACTTAAGTTTAAAAAATGATCTTAAAATATTTTAATAACAGTGGTTCCGATAAATTAAAGCTACAAAGCCATTGCCATGTATTAAACAAGCTTTATTTTCTAGCAAAAGCTCAGAACTATGTATTGACTTATTTCCAGCTCAAGTACAGTAAAACAACTGACCCATGCACAATTTCATGTTAGCCAGAGAAGAGTCTAATTGCAGAGTTATCACCCAAACCTCTCTATAATGGTTGCTAAATCACAAGAAAACCTTCTGTATCGAGAGAGTTTCATTAAACCTCCAGTTTCTCATTACCAGTGAGCACAACGTGGGAGGGATGGCACGGAGCAGAGAATGATGGGAATCTCCTCAGGTCCAGGAAGGGCAGCGGAGGATATATAACACAACAGAGGAGCAGGTTATAACATGAGGATTTAAACACGACAGTTCGCAGCAGAAACCATTGGGGTTGTTCGGTGCAGAAAGGTATGATTGGATTTTTAATGCCGAACAACAGGAGGAAAGATGAGGCAGAAGAGCCGGTGTAATTCAGAGATTTCCGTTGGTGATGGAACATGGTCAGGGTGTTTGGAGGTTTTCAGATGTATCAATGTGAAACTGAGCAGCTGGAGGATTCACTCAGGGATTTCAATCCGTGAGGATCCATGTTTCATGATAACCAAGGGGCTCTTCTTCAAAATGAGCTGAGGTTATGAATGAATGTCAATACACAAATTCCCTATACATTAGCCCAAGAAAGGAATGAAGTTATTTTAAAAATAGTAATAATAACAATCTACTTTGAGCTCTATACATAGTCCACTCTCCAGTTTTCATTCATATAGCTGCTGGTTTTAATTTATTTTGGACATATTGAGTTATAAAAGCATGAGAAGATGTGCGCTATGAAGAGTTTTTTTCTATGTAGTACATTTGAAAATAGCACTAAGCTTTATTGAGCTTCTATTTAGTTGTACTTCATTATTTGCAGGCTTTGTTTCTGTCCCTTTATTTTCTCCATATGCTTTTCTCTTTTTCTCTCCAATAACGTAGTACGCAATAAAAATAAATAAAAACATTTTTGTGTGAATGGATTTGTAAAATGACTTGCTTTGTCTGAATTTTTCTCTTGATTTTAAATTTCAACATTCCTTCTTTTCTTTTTTTTTTATTTTTATTTATTTATTTTGCAAAGAGCAGTATAAATCAATGCTTTTAAGATTTTGGTAAAAAAAAAAATATATATAAAAATGCATTCTTTCTCTCAGTTCCTCTTTCAGCTCCTAGGAACCTCCGTGTGTCAGAAGAATGGTACAACCGCTTCAGGATCAGCTGGGATGTTCCTCCTTCGCCCACTATGGGCTACAGAGTTGTCTACCAGCCTCTTACTGGTAATTTATGCACATGAACAAAAACTAAACCTTGTGCTTCTTGAAAATCTTCACTTTTATTCAAAGAGAATTCTTTTTTTTATTATTATTATTATTATTAACCTAAATTTAGCCGTTAGTGGGGATTTATGAACATTTGGTCCTCAAAGTCATTAAGACTTAATAGTTGAAACTCAGAACTTTCTCTGTCATCAGCATTCTCTAGTGCTGGGTTTTCTTCAAGTGTGAAGGGAGAAATGAGTGAGCTAAGCAGATTTCTGGAGCATTAAGCTACTGACCTCAAGCATCTTCCCCTGCAGCTGATGCCTTAAGGCTACATTAGACACTATCAAGTGCAAGATGAGGCCAGATCATTGGAGACTCGTTTCGGTTTTCATGTAGCATACAGAATGAGTTTCACACATTCTCCTTCAGCCAAATATTTTTAGATGAAATGCATAAACATGCTCCTTCCAGCCCTTTCATCTAACTGGCCATTTGTTGCTTCCTGACTTCTCATTTTATGTACTCTGGCCCATTGCAGCCCCTGGACAGGCGCTGGAGACTTTTGTTGGAGAGGATGTGAACACCATGCTGATCCTCAACCTCTTGAGTGGGACAGAGTACAGTGTCAAGGTCATCGCATCCTACACCACAGGATCCAGCGAGGCTCTAGCAGGAAAGGCCAAGACTTGTGAGTTCAGCTTCCTTTACTTTGATTTAACTTCACAGTTTCTTTCTCACGGTCAAATTTCCATATGTGATGTATTTCTATTACCACTGAAGGCAACACAGTCATCTGATTGAGCTATAACATATTGTAATGTACCTGGAAAACACATTATACTGCCCCTTAAATTCAACAAGAAAAAAAAAAAGAAATGCAAATTTTAAAATCTTAAATAATCTGGTTTCATTAGTGTGTATTAAGGTAAATTAAAACCTTAAACACCTTTGATTTGCAATTTTGTTTTACTGTTTACTTCAACTGAACAAGATGTCTGTCAATCTATCAACTCAGTTTATGATCAATTTAAGTGACTTTAATTGAATAAATTTTAGAAGATTTTTTTGTACAATAGATCTACAAACCTAAAAAGCCAATGGTCATGAAATTTGGGTCACGTCCATTTTTGAGATCCTGAATGCAAGCGGCAGAAATGAGTTTTCTTTGCAGGGTTGCTGGGCAGTCGATTAAAAGTAGGTGAGGAGCTCGACCATCTCGTAGAGACTCTTGAGTAGAGCTGATCTAAACAATCACCTTTAATTAATCATCAAAGCAGCTGAACATCTACATCCAGCAGCAGCTGTTAAATTAACAAGATATGATAGCTCAAAGTTATGATTTCTGATGTAAAGCCTTCCTAAAACTCTTTGAAAGTATGTCCTGAATTATTTAATCAGTTTCTCTTGACTAAAATAATTTGAGTTGAAACCTTTATGTTCCTCTCCTGCGTTATAATTAACCTCTTCACAGCAGCCTGGTCCATTCGTGTCCAGCTCTGTTTGAACCCCAGACGTCACCAGCTTGTGAAAGTCAAAGCCACTAACAGAAAGCATGTCCTTTTCATGGTGTCCTTGAGCCAGACAGTTCAACCCAACCCCATCATCCATTTTCATTACTCTGTTTGCAGGGCAAGTGTCAGTTAAAGGCAGAAACATGTACCTTTTTAAATATAGCACACACGCCTTAGTGGCATTTTTCACTGACTGCATACCAATGAGCAGGTTCGCGGTGGTTAAATAAAGGACACATTTTGCAAGACAAAGCCGAGAGCAGAGGAGAGTAAACTGAAGAAGATGGAAAGATGGGTTTATATTAAAAGAGGGAAGGCTGATTAGGCTATACATGTCCCAGAAGGGGAATACAGTGTCTGTGATATTGCTCAGCAGCATGTTAATGAAACCAGTGAGCCAGAAGAGATGAGCGGACTGATGCGTCAATGTCACACAGTCAGAGCTTGTGAGGGGGTTTTCTTTCTGAATTTTTTAAAGATGTGTTAACTGTATATTTTGATGTCTCTGTAGAATATTTGGAAAAAATAAATTTGTGAACATGGAGTTTTTGTACAATTAAACTCATAGAATGAAAAACTATCATCTTATTTATTGTAAAGACCCACCAGCAACTCAATGTTTTTTTGAAATATTTTTGGTTTCATAGACTTGGAAATTATCTGAAAACAATGTTTGCCAAAAAGCCGGAATTGCTCCTAAGTCTGATTGTAAACGTTTTAGAAAAAATTCCAGATCCTGAAAGAGTTTTTACATCCTTGAATATCAACTCAATTCAATTAAAAATAATTTATACCAGAAAAAAAACAAGTGTTGTCATAACTCGTCTCATCCTAGGAACTTCTAAGTGGTTGTGGAGCATAAATTAAATACTTAATTAAAAATATTTCTTTTTTTTTTTATTCAGTGTAAAGTAAACCAAGATTTTCAATGCCATTACTAGCTTATATAAACATGAATTTTAATGTCTCTTTCAGAACAAGTGATGCTTTCTAAAGTCAGATCTAAAAGCCATTCCAGCCATTTGCATAAATAGACTGTGTGGGTTTGTTTAGGATTTTATGTAAAATCTGCTCTTTTTTTTTTTGCTGCAAACTCAGTGTAGCTACATTTCTCCACATGTCTGCAAATAGCGTCATGAAAATGCAGTGTGGTGTTTTTTAAGCTAACCAGCTGTATGCTTTAGGTTGGAATCATGATTGCATGTGGTTTCTTTGATGTGAGTTTGTGTGGCTTTATGTGCCACTGTTATAGCTGCATGGAGAGAAGAATGCTCATGAATCTCCACTGACTATTTTTAGAGATCTAAAAAAGTTTTATGCTTCTGATCTATTTCTGCTTAAAATGTAGAAACATGTATGAACATTGCTACAAAGTCAGAGCCACTAACTGATATCTGCTGTAACTTACAGTTACTGTAATTCCTTTGGGAGAAAAAAGACTGAAGCAAATAAAAACTGCATGTTTTCTGTATGAAATCTACATATTTTTCTTAATGTTATCTATATTTCTGTGCCTTTTCAACAGTGTATCTTGGAGTAACCAGTCTGAGCACATATCAAGTGAGGATGTCTGGTGTTTGTGCTCAGTGGGTGCCTCACCGGCATGCCAGTACCTACAGACTGGTTGTTCAATCTGTGACTGGTGAGTACCATTATGTCTACAACCTTAATGTTATGATTAAAAATCCACTCTGAAATAGAAGTGGCACAAAAGCAAAAAAAGCAAAAAGACAAAGTCTATAAGAGGACAATAATAATAATTTAGAGTTCACTGGAGCTGCATAGAAATGGAAATGTCAAATTTAGAAATAAAGAAGAATAATTACATTTTTATTTTTTTTTATTATTATTATTCAGGTTATTATATGAGATAAAGTATGAAAACGCATGCACGCAAGTTTTGTAACTATATCAGTCTTAATTTCAGTATCTGGCAGGTTTTTGAAAGAACTCTTGGAGTTCTACTAAATGCGATTATGCATTACCTCAGCTATATCACACTGTATTTCCAGTTGTAATTCTCTTCGTTATTTCATACTGAGCTCCCACAACAAATTTCTGAGCTGGTTACGAAGGGGCTCATTCATACTCGCATGCTTTCATGAGGAGGAGTTTGAATTCCTAATTAGCCCAAGATCACAGAGGTTCTGTTGTATTCCGCTTGAGATGTGCCGACAGTCTTAAAGATTTAGCTGTACAATCAAACACTGAGCTTTTCTGTCAAAAAAAAGAGGTTTTGGATTACAGCTCTGGTGACATTTACATTTCCTGTGTGGAGTAAAGTGGAGCAAAAAAGACAAAGAGGTATTATGGGTGCTAAGTGAGGAGGTGTTCTGGTTGCATGACTGACAGTAATTATGCCTTGTTGAATCTGTTCTGGGAGGTATGCTTTAAAGAAGACAAAAATGAAATGGTATTGGTGTTCTGAAGTTTTCTCTAAACATTTAATAGCTCCTGGAGTCAGTTTTCTTATTGAGAGAAAATTGTTTCCCTGAAACAATAAAACCAAACAACTCCTTCTGTCTGAAGCACCCTGTGGTGAGATGTGGGTGTTTTGGAAAGAACTGAAACCTGCTTTAGAGAATCCCTGCAGATGCAAATGTCTGTCGAAACTGATCTTCTGACTTACTTTTGAAATGCTTGAAATGTTTACTGCAGTGTCCTTTTTTGTATAATTGTTTTATGCAGATAGAAACTGTTTGGTGTTTTTATAATATAATGAAGGAGAAATTTAGGCAGCTTTCGGCTAATCTGTAAACATTTTTACTTTTGAGTTTTCTCCCATTAGTTACATATTTACTCCCGCTTGTCAATGTCTTGCTGATGTGATTCATAGATGTGTGAGACTTAAGTTTTAGGTCTGCTATATTAATTTTCTCAAAAGCACAAAATATAGGTTGCTCCTTGGACTTTTATTATTACTTTTATTGTTATACCATTTTCCTAAACTTTGCCAAAGTGAAGAAGAAGTGAAACTATTTCCATTTAACAAGTTTGCATTCAGAACTGACCACAGACACAGTTCAAGGTCTTTCAAGCTAGCTTGACATGTTTTTGTTCTATAATCTGTAATAATCTGGCTCAGCATTCTTTGAAAAGACAATTTCCTTAACATCTTAAAATTGCTTCCAGAGTTTTTAGAAAACTTGTATTTTTGTTTCTATAGCAGTTCAATGTGAACTTTTACTTCAGCTGTCCAAACAAATCCAGTCTCCTATATAAACAATTATCATCGCAATTTACCAGACACTTTTTTTCTGTTGCCTCAAACGGAAATAATTGTCTATTTTCTCATTTTGAAGGGATAACACAGTCCAACTCCCCAAAATAACACCAAACAACAGATGGTGTTGCTCTATTTCAATTTCCCAGGTACACCTTTCAGTCTCCGCCTCAAAGATGAGATTGACTTTTAATACAGCCGTCATCCGCCAAATAGGAAAGTAATGGCTGTTATTCATCACCTTCAGGCCTTCAGCAATACCACTGCAATCATTAACGTCACATAAAAGCCACATATTCCCCATGTTTCCTCAGGGAGCTCCAATGTATTGGTTCTTTCAACACACACAATGGAGGTAAATGAGGATTTATGTCAGCACAGCTGGTATGTAATTACCCTAGAGATGTTTCTGCTGCAGGAGAAACTGGAATGATGTGCTTCTTATCCCATTTTTGATAAGGAAGGTTATAAAGTGAGACAGGGGAAAGTAAATTTAGGAAAATTAAACAAAATATCAAACGCAGATTGTAAAGTAGATGAGGGTGAAACCTCTGGTGCTGAAGAGCGTTGATGAATAAACAAGTTTAAAAAGGTTTGTGATAATTAGATTTTCCTAAATTTTATTTTGTGGGCTTCCATTTGTAAACACTTTCTGTTTTTTTTAGGATTGTAAGAGTAGATTGATCTTCTAGTGGCTCGCCATCAGCATTATGTCTTCTCAGACCATAGTTAGTTTGACAGTGAGCTTTTCAATCTTTTGAAGCTTTTGATAGTCATTGCCCATTAATCCTTGCCGAATATCTGCATAAATATTTACTGCATTTAAGAAAAGAAAATACTTTTTTTTTTTTGCGATCTGTCTATTAAAAGCATTTTCATTACATCTATTCATAATTCACCCTCAAGCATTGCACTCAAAATCACAGCTCTGGGCGACAATAACCAACAGAAAGATCATTCTACATTTCTTCAGTAAAAATATTCAACCAGCTTTTTGTACTTACTTCATTTTAATCCTTTTTCTTATTGAGGCTTGTAGACAGAAAAGTGAAACAGACATTTCAGTAATTTACCTGAATGACTGAAGTCATTTCATTTTGAAACAGTCTTTTTTTTTAAATACAACCCTAGAATATGAAACATTAAAAAGAATATGAAGCATCAAAAAAGATTGTCCATTCCTTCATCCATTTATAAATCCGTATATTATCCCTACAGAGTCATCAAAAGGCTTATGCATATCTCTACATTGCTCCTGCAGCTCAGATTTCCAACCCAATCCTTGTGTAGAAGGTCAATTCCATAAACAAATCAATATGGATTTTTTTTTTATTTTCTACAGAATTTGTCAATAAATCAAAACAATAATCAACCATAAAGCCAGAATAACTCTAAATGCCTCACACTTCTCTATAAAGATAAATATCTATTTTAAAACAGACATGTTAACAGAACATATAAATCTAAAATATTTAAAATATTTGGACAACTTGAAATAATTCAATTCAACAAAATAACTCGAAAAGTGGCACAAGCAACATAACAATTAAAGATCAAAATTTAGCACATCTATTTAAATTAGCTCCAGGTTTTTCCTGTACAAACATAAAGCTTCCTCAAAGATCACACTTATTCAGTCCGATCTGAAACTGTTTTTAAGCAATGTTGCATTCAATAACTGTGTTAAAAACATGTTTTTAGCTATCAACATGTCATTGATTTGAAAGGCAAATCATTTTTATTATTAAATAAGCTGTTAATTGGAGCACAATATGCTTTTTTATTAATTCTTTCTATTGTTTTTTTCCAGCATGAAACACGGATTGTTTTTCCCAACATTTCTACAGACTTTTTTTGTTGTTGTATCCCATTTAGCAAAATTATTTGGACATTTTTGTTTGGACATATTTTGTATGTGGTTTTTCATCACAATGTTCCGTGATACTCTTAGATTTCAGATGAAATTGTGTATTTTGTAGTTTGAAATATCTAGTTTTTATTAGGTTCTCCAACTTTTTGCAAAATAATAATTCATGCAGAAAGATCACATTTCTCGTTGTTGTTTGATTGTTCATTTTGTCTGTTTTTTTTTTTTTTTATCCGTTTGCGACTGTAGGTAGTCAGAAGCAGGAGACCAGGCTCGGTGGAGGTGCCAGCAGACACTGTTTCAGCAACCTGAAGCCCAACACAGAGTATAAGATCAGCATATACTCCCAGCTACAGGATGGGACTGAAGGACCTGCTGTCACTGCAAATGTGAAGACATGTAAGAAAATTGAAGCACAGAAGCTCAATCTCTTCAGACTCTAATAAAAGCATCAAATTTAGTGTGTTCATCATTAGATTTGTTTTATGAGTTAGTTATTAAGCAATAAACATTAACGGTTTGCAATCTGTGCAGATGTTTCGTGCAGAAATTCTCCACATGTCCTCGACTCGTCTCCCTGTATATTTGCATCAGCTATAATGCATCCAAAACCCCCTTTAAATATGCTTGTGCAGGTGTGATCACAATATAACAGCAACACACTCACCATGCACGCATACACTTCATCTAACTGCTGTCAGCTGTTATTGTTTAGAAGAGAAGAGACTGGAGTACAATCACGTCACTTTCGCCAGAAAATGTCTTTTATCCTTGTGGGAGCACTGCGTCCTCGTCCGTCTTTCAGAATGAGGCTTTTGTTCTGCTGCAGCCGCTCCAAACTCTAATCAAGTACCAGTGTCTGGAGATGAGGAGGAGGGGGGCTGTTGGGATGGGTGGGCTGCTTTGTCATTTTGTTTACCATAAGGGTCATTTTAATTTGAATAAATCAGGGTGATATTCAACAAAAAGTTTTGTCTCTATTACACTTTTGGTACTATAACCAGAGTGATAATTATGCTTAATAAATTACTTTTTTATTATGTGTAACATCAGATGGCAACCAGAAGTTACAATTTCACATTATATTTTACATCAATAGTTTGAAGGCTTTTAAAGGAAAAACGACATAGGAGAAGATTAGAAAGTAAAAAGCCTTTCAAAAAATAGTCAAATCTTTTTTTCTATTTATTTTTTGCTCCCGCTGCAACCATTAATGGATGCTGTTTTATGAAATAGATTAACACAAAGTACTAAATAATTGCAGTGTGGAAGGAAAGTGATTTAGTGGTTTTTAATGTTTCTCTTACTGCAGTTGCTACTGCAACTCCACTGGGGAATGTCTCCACCTCCTTTCTACTCCCAGAGGATTGCATATCTGCCTCTTCTTTTATGCAAAATAGCTTATGCTTAATTTGTGAAGTTTCTCGACCAACAATTGGATTCTGTCTGGAGAATTTGACACTTGGATATGATCAATATTAACAGTTTCTGGCTTTGTTTATGGTTGTTCTGCTGGAAGTTGAACTTTTGCTCAACTGCCTATGAAGATTTTTTCCAAATATGATTATATATTTAACTCTATCCAACCCATTAACGCTATAATTCCATTGTCTTTGCGTCCCCTCAACATAACTGTTGGGATTACGTGTTAAGAGTGGTGTGGAGTGGTAGTTTTCCTCCACACACTCCATTTTTAGTTCTTCATGGTGTTGTTTGCTTACTAATCTGTGAGCCCTTCATAAAACAGCTGGATTTATACAGAGTATCAGTTACACACTGGGAAGCTATTTACCAATTAGAAAACTGCTGGATGACATCCAGTTGGTTGCACTGGATTTTATTTAAAGGTACACAATTAAAGGGGCCAAATACATATGAACATCATTCTTGTCAGATTTTATAAATCAAAGAAATTGAGAAACATGTCTCAATATCCTTGTACATTTGTGAGCTCATTTGTTTGTCTATCACATAAAGTTCTCCAAAATAGATCGAGGTTTTTGATTTTAACATAATAAAATATGTTTTTAAAACTCTGAAAAGATTTGAATACTTTTGCCAGTATTTGACTCTTACTTCCTAATAAGATGGACTTTCAAGATTAAATTAATCACTTCACTATCTGTTTATAAAAGACAATTCCAAAATTGTATAACATGTAACATCACATGTTGCACTACAAAAACCCAGGTAACAAGATGTTCATAGAACAAAGCTCATTTGCAAATTCAGTAACACATTTCACATAATGTTTGCAGAATTAGACATCTGATTGATTTTATTGCACTTAATGGTTTGTGAAATCTGAACAGCAAAGTATTTATGCACATAATATGTAAGGTTGATTCATCACAAGATGAGGACACAGAAATGCCAGATGAAGGACTGGATTTGAAAATAAACAGAATGAAAGTCAGAGATGGTCTGTTTTCACACGGTTCAGACAGGAGGCTGAAGGAGTAAAGAAAATAACCTATAGAGAGATAAAAAAGGCAACAAGACAGAAAGTTCTTTCCCTGAAAAAACAGATATTTGTTTGCTTTAGGCTGCTCCCAGACACACTGTGGCTCTACGGTGAGCCTCCTGGATGATTTATGGCTTTGTTTTGACGCAAATGAAAGCTTGAGCATTTCCTCAAATGACTATTCCCATCGCTGCAGGCAGCCGCTACTGAACGCTCCCTACCTGCCATCACAAGTGATTCTCAGCCTTAGGTAGCTGATTTACTGCCTAAACAGCTCTGAAAGCATCGAGTGTATGTATGTGGGTGTATCTTTAGGAGGAGAACACACACACTGAACCAAGTTAAGGGGTTGAAAGCTGAGACGACAGACTTGGGGTTTTGACTGGAGCTCACACTGTGATCAATGGACCAAATTATACAGGAGCCAAAATCACACCTTTGCACGTAGTTATTTTACACTTTCTGTTTGAGTACGTATGTAACTGTGTTTCACTGATCCATGTCCATTTCTGTAGTAGGGAGATCTATTTGCCATGTCAGTGTATGAGGAATGGAGTCATAATTGGAGGTTTTCATAAATTCCTGTTTGTGTGTTTCTCTTCACTCAGTACCAATCCCAACACCAGCTCCGGCCAAGCCCCCGACCACCACTCCACCACCCACAATCCCTCCTGCGAAGGAAGGTGAGGCTTCCTGTCATTCATTTTGTCCAACATGTCTATTGCAACTTGACAGAGCTCTTGACGTATGAAGTTTGTGCTGTTGTTTTGTTTAAGAGGACAGAAAGAAGCCTTATTTATAAAAATGTGACCATAACTTTTATTTGACCATCATAACAAAAATGCTACCAGATTAATGCAATTCTCTTCTATGTGCCAAACACAAAAACATAATGTTGTTTTCATGAACACAAAAAATACCATTATGGTTTATTTCTTCAATTAATTAAGTATTTTGATTAATTCTAAAAAAAAATAAGTATTTATGCACATTACCTCATTTAAATGATCTAAATTATGCATTTATGTTTTTATATCCCCATCAAACTACTGTATGCTATGCTTTCTGTCTTTTAGATGTATGACTTTGTTTTTCTCTGACAGTGGGGGACATACTCACCCACAGATTGTTACAGACAACAGCAATCAAAATGTAAAATGTATGCTTAAGTGGAAGCAGTCTGATCTCAGTCTGCACTGATGCTTCATGATTTGAACAGAGAGGCTCTTTTCCTCCCCTCACACACACATACAATACATGCACACATACACACACTTCTGACAAGCTCCAACATTTACAGTATTGAGCTCAAACTGAAATAATTATTGTCGATTTCAGGGTTTTTAAATGGAAGTTACATAACAGATAACTGCAGACTCAGGATGAAAATAGTTCTTTGAATGTGGCCCAGCGAGTCTTTGCATTTTATAGTTTTTAATTTTGTGAAACATATAATTCACATTCCTCACATCTGTCATCACTGAGTCATCAGTTTCATCTCCAGTGTACTATTAGCTGTTTTATATAAATAAGGTGAGAAAACACACAGCAGCGGCCATGTTTGTTGGCTCGTAAAATTTTAGCTTACGTTGCCTCATGCCCTAATAAAAATCTTTGTGCCTTCTAATAAAAATGGTACAGATACCAAAAAGTAATGCCATTAAAAATACAGACCAAAAAATATAATGACTAATTTTGTAGTAGAAGAGCATGGCTAAAGCTGTGCTAGAATGAATGTTCTGCAAGTTGCAGTTTGTTTTATCTTGTACCAAAACTTAGTTTCATCATGTCTGAATAAATCAGGATTTATAAAAGTTGTACTTTTGTGTTTTAGCCGGATGTAGTTGTGTTTCTTGTAACAAAAATGGGATAGCATTTGCTACCACTTGGTCTATCAATCATCCCCTGTGAAGTTTCTAAACTCATTTGTCCCATTAGTTTTCTTTCAAGCTTCCTGATTCATGTATTTCTACATGTTTGCTTTTGTTTGAGACTTCCATTTTGAATCAAAGTATAAATATGTCCTAAGTTTCTGCGTTTCATTTTACATTTATTATGTGACATAGAAAATGTCATCTGAGGCTTTTCTTAGCCAATAATTAGATGTTTCAACAATTATCTGCTAGTGACTCAGCAGTGCAGTCGCTAGCAGAGCCGTAAGAAATGTTGGCGTGTTTTTGTGGCTGTTAATATCTAACCCATTTTTTATCAATATAAAACAGGAGGGTTCAAAATATCACCTGTATAAGTTTATACAAACTTTTTTTAATTGTCAATGTCTTTCCGAAAGCTGCATTAAAAAAGTCCGACAAATATCATGGAAATATTTTATTTTAATATTTTCCATATTAGTTCTTGATAACACCTACACGTCCGGCATGAATAAAGTGCTATTCATAATTCATATTTATAAAACACTCCCAGATGAACATCGCTGACCTAAGGAAGAGCCTTAACTCTGACCCTGTTAAATTACTTCAAAGCTTATTCTGAATGCAGAACAGAAATGGGATAAAATCCTTCCTGAACCTGAAGTGCCTTGATTAATTTTCACAAAAGAGAGATGCTGTCCAGGGGGAACAGAACCAGAACCAGACCTGACCTGAATAAAGCAAAGATTAATTAGTTCCCATCTAAAATGCATCGGCATGAGCAGATTCAGCCGAGAAACAAACACAGGCAGCTGAAGAAGTTGAGCAGTTAATTCAATTCACCAACAAACAGCTTTGGTGGGAAATAAAAGCAGGATGGAAAACAATAATATGCCAACTGATATAAGACAAGAAATGCTTTGCATTTATTTATCAGTCATAGAATGGGAATTTATATGACCAGATTTCCAGAGTAAGCCTAAAAAGAGTTTGAATGTAATGTATTACTATTAGCAGCCTTTACATCTTACATCTTTTCATCTTTACAACTACAAAAAGATTAATGTTTTGCTTTTTTAAAAATTATTTCCAGTTTGTAAGGCAGCCAAAGCGGACCTGGTCTTTTTAGTTGATGGATCCTGGAGTATCGGTGACGACAACTTCCTGAAGATTATCCGTTTCCTGTACAGCACCGTCGGAGCTCTGGATCGGATAGGCCCAGATGGCACACAGGTAACCCAGACAAGACCAAATCATTCTAAAACAAAAATCCTTAACAAAAACAATAAAAGTTAGCAGAAGTCTATCAAAGCATTTTTTTTCTAAACATTTTGTCTGATGAATTTTCAATCTAAGTATCTGTTTTATTCATTCCACATTCCAGCTTCTGAGTCTTCCATATTATTAGAAAGAGGCTTGAAAACAGATTTGAATTAGTCTAATTAATTGTTGCTTCGGTGTTTATCCAAGGGGCAGAGATACTGCAACAGAAGGACAAATTGGAAAATTTATGCTGAATCAAACATGCAGAGTGCACATCATTTGCAAATTAGAAAATTCCCTTTAGCAAAATCCAAAAGGAAAGAAGTAAACCACAGATACCAAAATGTGTTCATGACATTTGAAACAAAGAAGTCTAAAATTGCTGAAAAGCGAGGGGATCTAAAATCTGGTTTTCCTCAGGAAACAACTTCCACATAATTTTCTCATCCCGCCTCGGCAATTGTTGCTCATCACTATAATTTCAGGAGAGACAAAATAAAGAAGATAATTTTCATCAGCAGCTTATTGTGTCAGTAATGAATGTGTGATCCCCACAAAACTGCATACATTAAATTGCTTTTCCTCTCGAAAGGGGTATAGACTTATTTAAGACTCATACAAAATAAATATCTGTAGATTTTTAAAAGGATTCATAATCATTGTAAATTATGGAAATTGGCAAAGAAAAAAAAACAAAACTAAAACCGAGAAATTAATTAATGAAATCATTCTTTTGTTTCAATGCTTAAATTGTCTACAGTATTGCAATTTTTCTCAACAAGCTTTATTTTGCTCTGATATTTTGTTCAATTCAGATGACTATGAAGGTCAACTAATTATGTATTTGTTGACATTTCTTTTTGAAAATACAAAACCACATTCTGAAACTGCACTGCGGTCAACATTTCTTGACCCATCATTCGCCAAGTTGTGAGAAAACCTTGAAAATACATATTTCATAGCACTATCATGATTTCCCCTTTCAAAATGAAGAAAAATTCAACCTTTTGAATTTTGTTAATAAATTCAAAGTCCCACATTTTTTTAAAAATAATTTTCAACAAAATCAAAACATTTTATAGCATTGAATACTTTATTAAGTTAAAATTTCTATACATATGTTAATAATCCACAACTGCTTTTTGACAGTTGTGGATATAATGATTATTACAGGCCTGTTTTTAATGTCCAGTTTTAAACATGGAAAAGGCAAGAAAATATGTTAATCAAGAAAAAGTACACACTTTTTTTTCGAAAGCCTAAGAAATCACTACATCTATTGATTTGAATAAATCCAGAGGAAACAGTTTAACTTTAAAAATCAAGGTTTTACCAAAGTCTCTGGATTCCAATTCTAAAACGTGTCACTTTATAGTGGAAATAATATTTTTTTAAAAATTGCAATTCTTTATTGATATGTAGTCCTCTATTAATTATTATTCATGGATTTTTTCCTTGTACATAAATCTTGTACATTTTCAAGTTTCCCCTTTGCATTTATTCCAGTAATTATAAGCAATTTCTCTTGTACCTATTTTGATTCTTTGAAAATAAAATCTTATTTCAACCAAATCAGCTATGTGGTGCTTTTTGGGAATGAACCACAATACTTTAGTGTCACTACAATTCATATAAGTTTTACAATTATATTGTTTAAATCCCTGCAGTTTTTATTAGTGAGTTTTTGAAAAAGAATTTCCACAATATTCCAGCAATAATTTTGAATAAGCTTTTCCAGCGTGTTTCTCTGTAGACATTAAAAAAATGAAGTCATCTAACTCTAACAATGTAAATGAGTTGAAACTTATTGCAAGTTGGATTGACATTATGCCCGGCCCTGGCAGGTGGCCATTGCCCAGTTCAGTGACGACGCTCGGACTGAGTTCAAGCTGAACTCCTACGGTAACAAAGAGCGTCTGCTTGATGCCATCAACAAGATCTCCTACAAGGGAGGAAACACTAAAACAGGTGAGGGTTAAGCACACACAGTAGGTGGACTGCTGAGAGACAAAATAATCGCCTTCTACTTCTTCAACTGCTGCAAATAAAACACAACTATGACTATTATATGCACGCTCAGACCTCACCTCTTGGTTTATATTGAACACTTGAGTAAGGGGCATGCACATGTATGTGATTTCAGTTAACTGTAACATGCATATATGAACCTGTTCTTAATGTGTTAACACTACATGGAGGTGTATGTGTGTAATGCAAGAAAGCCTGTGGGAGAGATGAGATCGTAATAGTCTTTAATCAGTGTTTACAAAGTAGAAATGAGATCGCAGCGAGCAGATTTGTTAGAGCATTGCTGCCGTAAAGGAATTCCCCTGCTGGTAATGTCACACTATAATGCTCCGCTTATTTATTTATTTACTTTTTTAATCAGAATGCAACAGTTTAGAGTGTTGTTATGCATTCAGTCACAGTGTAAACTCCAATTTAAAGTTTGCAAGCATTCCAATAGTAGAATATATGAATTTGTTTAATGTTCTGGTGTCATTTAATTTATTTAAATAATTAAAATATTAAAGAGAATAATTATTGAGTAAGCCTAAAGATTTACCTATATTTGATTAAGAATCAAATTGAATTAATAAAACCAAAATATCTAAATATATGCAAATTGCAAAAGCTTAAATAAAATCCAACATAGTTTTATCATGAATTTAAGTTACTTCTTTAAAATTTTGTATTCTACTTAGGGTTGTTTTATGTCTATACTCATGTTCAAATTCGCTTTATGTGAATTTTTGACATCAAGTGGTTAATATTGCAAGACTTGCATTGGTTTCCCTCTGAAGTATCCTGTACAGTTACATTGCCAATAATGCGTACATACATATGAAAATAATTTTATACATATGAAATTCTTTTCATACGTATGAAATTCTTTTTGAACACATTTTCAATCAGTGTGGGATAAAGTATAGATGAGGGAATACCAGACCTTGACATATCCTCATTTAAATATGCAAATAGATGAATATATGTTCTGCACATTTGAATCATCTGTTCACACACAGATTTATTCATTCTTGATCGTAATTTATTGGTGCGTGCAGTATTTGTATTCACATCCTTAACAGCTTCTGAGGATGCCATCCAGGTGTTGTGGATGAGCCAGAGTCTGCAAGCCAGTCATAAATTTGCCTTGAGGCTTCTCACATTTCCAAACTCAGTTCATTATTGTCGTATCTGAAGTTTTCCTTAGAAATAGCCGTGTGAGATTTTTATGGTTATGCACACTTTGCACATAAGAGCTTTGATGATGTCGCCATTGTTAAGGTTACCTTGAAAGGCTGTATGCGTCTGTATGTGACAACGTAAGCTGATCCCTTGGCACTACCTCCCTTTGATGCATCTCTTTTCATTTTTATTTGTATCGATGTGTCATGCATCACATATCACCTCTGTCATCATGATAAAAGTTCCAATTTTGAGACTAATTATTATGTGGAAAAACCAACAATCATGCTGTCAATAATGGCTTCATTTTCGAAGTAAACTTAAGTGGTGACTCATTGACGGTTCGTGTTTTTCTAGCACAGAAACTGTGCAGCGGCACGAACTTCAAAGGTTACTGCCACAAACATCTGAGACATAGCAATTTAACTGGCGCCAAATTAAAATCCTAAACACTCGGGGCGATATTGGTATGTGTGGAGGGTTGATCTGACTTCTGGCAAGAAGATGAACCCTCCAAGGCATACATTTGTTCAGCAGCACTGATCCATAATATGCAATCTTCATGCAGTTTATTTAAATTTGTACTGCAGATTTGTTTTCTGATGTAACATTGCTTTGTAGTGCACAAATTATTTTAACGACAATGCGAATAAACCTGCAAGGAAGCGTGAATCAAAGCCTGTTTTCAAGCACCTCTCCTATTTACTTTTTTAGTCCCAAACACACTGTGTGATTTAAGACCATTTTTCTGCCACTAAAAGAGGTACACTAATTATTTGTGCTTTTTCTCAAACATGTAAATTCTCTCCTATGAGGAAAATAAATAAAGAAAAATTAAAAATTCAGATTTTTAGCATTTTATGCAGATCGGTTGCCACGCTCTGATTTAATTGTTGGAAATAATTGACGGTTTCATCTTTTCAATCAGGCCGAGCCATCCAGCATGTGAAGGAAAACATCTTTACAGCTGAAGGAGGAGCCAGGAGAGGAATCCCTAATGTCCTTGTAGTTCTGACTGATGGCCGATCCCAGGATGATGTCAATAAAGTTTCCAAAGAGATGCAGATGTCAGGTCAGAAATGATTTGTCTTGTTTTAATGGTTATATATGTAGCTAAAACTCTGGTTTGTTTGATTTTATTTTGTTTTGAATGGGGTGTTGGGAGCCTGTCTGTAACCTGTAGTCCCACACATTAATTCTGATCCTTTTTTGTGTGCAAACACCTTTTCCAGGACTTACAGCAGCTTCCAGTTTAAGCAATATTCTATTGCTTTCATTTTAGTACAACACACCGTTTCATCTACACTATTATGTTGTGACCAGAAAATACTCTAGACATTTAGAGTGTTTGGTATAATAGTTTATCATTCCATTTTCTTTTTTATAAGCGCACCATGTTGCCACACGGTTTAATTGTTGTTTAATAAAGGACAACTTGCATAAATTTCAGTTACTGAATCCCATACTGAAGACAAAGCATTTTTTTTTTCTCATCCACCCTCCTTGTAAAGGTTACATTGTGTTTGCTATCGGCTTCGCTGATGCCGACTATGGAGAGTTGGTGAGCATCGCCAGTAAACCGAGCGACAGGCACGTCTTCTTCGTGGACGACCTGGACGCCTTTCAGAGGATCGAAGAGAAGCTGGTGACCTTTGTGTGCGAGGCCGCTACTGCGAGTACGTCTTAGTTAGAGTGCGACTTCCTTTAGGAAAACAGCATGTGACATTTCTTCACTACTGTGCTGACTGTTTTTTTGGTTTTGTTTTAACAGCTTGCCCATCAATACCAATGAGTGGCAGCACAACCCCAGGTAAATGTTACAGAATTACTCTTTATCTCAACAAGTTACATGTAGAAGTAAACCTGATTACAATGTACTAAAGGACAAGTGAATGTAATTTCTTCTTGTTTGTGTAAAAATTTACTAATGACTGTTAAAAGACTAACTTGTTTAGAGCTCTGTGTCCCCATTTTAAGTCTTTTTTTTTTTCAAATGATTATTTTTACATCGTACCATGTGAAAGTGGCTTGTCTGTGGTACAAAATAACCACTGGTGAAAAGTGCCGCTGAGTCATTTCATGAAGCTATGGGAAAGAGTTTTTGAAGCTACTCTTAGAAGTGAGGTGATGATCTCTCACTCAGTGAGAGTGGTGTTAAATAGAAGAAGAGCAGTAAGGATGTGACGTGTGTTTTGAAAGGCTTTATGGAGAAGTGTAGAGACAGAAAAGACTTCCACTGTTTTCTTAAATTTAGAGAACAAGGTACAGAGGAAAGAACTGGGTTACTGAATGAGTCGAATGTGGCAGACATACGCCAGGGTGGTTTAGAGAACGTCAACTGTGCCTCAGTGATTAGAGTGGCTTCCTTGCAATCTGAAAGACATGGGTTTGGTTCTGGCTTCTAACACTTCCACACTGTGCCCAGCTTAACCCCTATCTGCCTAACAGTCTGCATATGAATGATTGATGTGTGAGAGGTTTTGAGCATGAAGGGCATTAGTGTAAAGTGCTTTGTGTGATGGTGTGATTATAAAAGCCCTATGTTATCTCTGTTATCTCAGTACTTTAGCATTTACATGTACAGAGACAACAAAACTGTGGTGAAGTGTGTAGAAGAAGTCCCAGAACAGAACAGACCTGGACGGGGTCTTGTTCAGGAATTTTGGAAAAATGGAATGTGAGTTTATTAGCCAGATTGGTGTGGTGTCTACAATGATACAAACAATGTATCCATCCATCGTGGTGCGGAAAGAGCTGAGCCAGAATTCAAGCTCTCAGTTTCTTGGTCGATCTTTGTTCCTACCTTCATCTAGGGTCACTTGTTCATCGAGGGTAGTGACTGAAAGAACAAGAATGCCAAAGCAAGTAATTGAAATGAGTTTCCTCCACAGAGTGTCTCTCCATTAGACATAGGATGAGAAGTTTAGTCATCTAAGAACAGCTCATGGTAGAGCCACTACTCCTCCACATCTAGAGGAGCCAGATGAGGTGCCTCGGCATATGGGTAGGATTCCTCTCCAGTGAGATGTTCTGGGCATGTTCCACCAGGAGGAGACCCAGAGGAATACCCAGGATATGGTGGACAGATAATGTTTTTCAAATGTCCTGGCAAAGCCTTGGAATTGTCCTGAAGGAGTCGGTACAAGTGGGTGGACGGAGGGAAGCTTGGGTCTCCCTGTTTAAGGTCCTACAGTAGTGACAGACAGGTTTACAGATGAAGTCTAGCAGGAGTCCTTATAGATCACAATGTGTGAAGTCAACTTCATGACTCCACAGGAGTAGGGAGCAGATAAGAAACTCTGGAGAGGTGGAGGTATGCTCTGAAAAGAAGATAAATTAGAGTAAATAAAAGCAGGACAGATTACGTTTTTATTAAGAGAGGTGAAACAGGACAGTTGCAAGCAGTGGAGAAGTACTGAAGCTGGAGAAGTGTAAGTACTTGAATGGATGGAAACAAATGTTAGGGATGATTTGTGACAGAAACTGAAATAGTTAAAGAGAAGCTTTTCAAGATGAGCTAGAAATGATAGCCTTTTTTATTGGATTGGATCAAACAAATCAAGCAGAAATAGAAGTGAGTTTAGCAATTAGAGGAAAATCTAAGATGGTTTGAACTTTTGCTGATGAGTGATAAAGGGTACACCGGACAAAAGGAGGTGAATACGGAAATGCTAGGAAGGAGAGAGAGAAGAAAATCAAATCGGTTCATTTGTGCTTTAGTGCAGGAGGATAAGCAGCCAGTCGGTTGGAGAGAGAAGGACTTAGTAATTTAAGAGATAGATGAGCAGATGATCTGCAATAGACAGAAAAAAGGTTAACACTCTGTTTATAACTGTGTCTATCTTTTAAAGTGAGCTCAGCTATCTGAGATAAATATTCTTGAATCGTCTGCAGCCCCCTGGCCTAATTTTCTTTGATGTTAACAAGATCTCATTCCCACCACCTGTCTGCAGGATTCCGTATGATGGAGCTGTTTGGACTTGTTGAAAATAAGTACAACAGTATCTCTGGTGTTTCCATGGTACCTGGCACCTTCAATGCCTTTCCCTGCTTCCACCTGCACAGCAACGCTCTGATGGCACAGCCAACCAGGTATGACAATTTGATAAGCTGCACAGATAGGACGGCATACAGCGTTTGTTGAAGTGAGAGGTGATGACATTTTGGAATGCAAAGCACAACTTATTAGTCAACAGAACCTCAAGATAATCTCCTAGAATGTCTCAGTTGCATCTGTTGTTCTGACTCACAGGTTTATCCATCCTGAGGGGCTTCCCTCTGACTACACCATCACCCTGCTGTTCAGAGTGCTGCCCGACACGCCGGAGGAGCCCTTTGCTATCTGGGAGATCCTCAATAAGAACAACGATCCACTAACTGGAGTTATCCTGGACAGTATGTAAAACAACTTTATGTTTAAAGCTTCACAAAGTGCCATTCTTTCATTACAAACATTTCCGTTAATAGAAAATGCAATACAACCATGAGAGCCTCACTAATTACCACAAGACGTTTTTCATCCAAACAAGCATCACACTTGTAGAAAGCTAACTGTTGCATGGCAACTCCTAGCACCAAGGTGGAGAGGTGGGAATTCAATTTAGATCTGTTATATTGACTTGAATGTCACCATAGTGAGGACCATGGGTACAAAAAACTCAATAGCATCTGTGCAATTAAATAAGACAACCGATTTTAGAGGATACTATGACGCATAGAAGAGTCAATACAGAGAAAAGTGCTGTCTGTTTAACAAAATTAGACTTGCATTATAGATTTACATGCTGGCTGCATGTACATGTGGCCTATACCTCTCGTTAATTTTCTGGATGAAAGTGACAGACAAGAAGCTTAACATTTACACAAATGCTTGACTATAACATAACAAATACATTTTAATGTATGTGTTTTGTTTTGTTTGTTTTGTCTTGTTTGATTGTTTCGTTCTATTACACATGTTTGTGTATTTCCCTGCAGATGGAGGAAAAACTTTGACATTCTTCAACAACGACTTCAGGGGAGAGTTTCAGACTGTCACATTTGAAGATCCAGAAATCAAAAAACTCTTCTTTGGAAGCTTTCACAAGGTCAGAATGCCAGTATGCGTTTGTTTTTCTAATGTCTGATTCCCTTCACACTGACCTTCAGATGTCTTGATCAGGATGTTCTGATGCATACAAAATGTAGCGTTTACATTTTTTTACCTGCAGGATAAGTCACCTACGAAAGCCTGACTTGGCAAAGAGAATGCAGACTATGATGCTGAGTCATAGTGAAAATTTCTGCAAAAGCAAGAAGTAAATAGATGCTCCAGAGCCAAAAAGTCCCTCTGTATTGGAGGACTAAATTTATTACATGTATTTCAGAGAATATCAGAAAGAAACACTTGCCACAAAATAAAGTGACTGATTGGTTGACAGCTGCATTACCATCTTATTTCTGTTTTTTCATTTTTGTATTTTTTTTTTCAGTCCAACTGTCTGGCTTATCAACTTATTGATTTGCAAAGTTCAGCTTCGTATTCTTGCCGTCTCTCGCTCCTGCCTTGTTCTATTTTTACCCCAGTCTTTCTGAGCAGTGTTACAGTGGCTGGTGTCCCAACAGGCTGACTTCAGTTGAGTCACGCCCCGAGTCTGAACCTGCTCACCGTCGCGTTGTGTTATCATCAGAGCGACTCGCTCACTGATCTGCAGTCACTTCTGTCTGCTTGCTGTCAGCAGAGCTTACCCCTCTTACCTTTTCACCTTTTGTTCTGCTCTGCCTGCTTGTGCATGTGTGTGTTCGCGTACGAGTCTGAGTGAGTCAGAGTAGATTTTATAATCCCGGAGGACCAGAACCTCCACAGCTTTCCTGATAAGTCAAGCCGACATCTGTATTGGTTCATGCGGTTAGGGATTAAAGTAGATAACTAAAGTGATAATCAGTAAAATCACTTGACGTGTCCTTTTAACCCACCTTGAGGGTTTTATGGTCTCCTTCAGTTGTACTTTACCTGCCTATTTCTAAACAGTTTTATTTGCTGAAAAATGACATTTTAGGGTATTTTGAGAGTGGAAATGTTCTTCCGCAAGCTGTATCCTCTGATAAGGTGGTCGACCTTCACACTCCACAGTCTCAGTAAGATTTAACTCAAGTCTCAGAAACTTCTGCACTTCCTGCATGTGCATATAAGTATGGATTTTCTAGTGCACACACAGTCATGGGTACATAAGATGGAATTGAGCAGGGTTGGAGCACAGTTTTACGTTTTAAGTCAAGATATTCTTAGATGTTTTAGAACTGTGGCCAAGTTTGGAAAAAGAAATGCCAACCAGTTCCTGAACAAAAACACTTCCTCCCCCCCACATAGTAACTCTGAGTCAGTTTAATAAAAGTAGCAATAAGTCTTGGATGTAAGACACATTTTGTCAATTGTTTGGCAGCAGTGACCTTATGAAGCACAAAATAGCTCAGCACTCCTCCACACAACTGCAGGAAAGTGCTGCGTGGTTAGATTTCAAGCAGAAGCTTCATTTTATCACCGTCAATTGATATTGCACATATTACCAGCTGAAAGGTTGCTGCAAAAAAAAATGTTCTACGTTCTGCATCCTCAGCTTTTTTCTTGTTGTATATTAGAGCTACAACTTTTTCCTTCTGGCAAGTGTTTGTCTAATGGGCCAGTTTGTTTGAAATGCTGAATATATGAGGTGGTATCTTTTTTTTTACACTTATTGCATTTCCTTCCCCTTTAGAAACCAAATGGTGTTGCCTAGTAACAGCTTCTTTTGGAGATAGTAAAGAGTCTTGTCAGATTTGAGAGGGTAATAATTACTATCTTCCAGCCAATCAGAATCAGGAACAGTTTTTTCCCTGATTCTGATGACCCTTTAGTGCTGCAAAATAATATTAGTATTTTTACAGCACTCCTCTGCACTTCAGCTGAAAATGTCCTATTCTGAGAGGTTGCACAAAAAAATGATGATCCCAACTGAGGCTATTCAGCAAAATTGTTGTCTGGAACAGATACATTGCATTTAAAATAAAGACAAAAGCAAAATAAAGGATTATAGTTGTTTGTTCTGCTCCAAATTTCACTAAGAACTTCAAAGTTGCTCAAAGCTTCAGTTAAAATCAAAAGATACTTTTCAGCTTTATGACCCAGCAGGACTCTGAGGCTCCTTCACAAACCTCAACAAGTTTAGCTGGGATTCTGTGATGAACAGAGTGGTCTCTAATTGTGCGGCAGAAAAACATTTTTAAACTTTTTTGACAAATAAAACTGACAGCAATGTGTGCATTTTGCTGCCAGTGTGAATACTTTGAAGAATCACCTTTAGCTTCAGTTACCTCTGAGTCTTTGGGGTATTGGTCAACGGGTTTTACATATCTACAGATTGAAACTTTTACTTATTCTTCTGTGTAAAAGGATTATTTTTTTGATTTAGATCTAAACTTTCACTGGGTCATTGTTGTAATTCGTTCCTCTGACTGTATATTTCAGGCAGTTTTTTTCTGCTGTAACGTGAACCTCTCAAGTCTTTCTGCTTCTAACAGTTTTTTTTTTTCTTTTGGACATGATTCATGTCTCTTTTATGTTGCTGAGCTTGTAAATTGAGACTTTCCTTTTTAATCCCATTACTACAGATGAGACCCCAATCTGTCTATTCATTATGCACTCCCTCCCACTTTAACTCATAAACAACACATTAAGATAGTAGAACTCCTTGAGTCTGTGCTTGCAATTGAAAATTGGCTCCAGAACGAGCAGTCCGTCTTTTTCCTGTGCTGAATCTTGGCTTCAGATGTAAGAGACCTGGCTTCAATCCCAGCCACTTTAAATGTAGCTGTCTGTCATTTATTTTAATTTCTCAGAGGGAATGTTTTATAGTTTACAAATGTCTGCAAAATAATGCTAACTATGTAGTGACATGGTTAAAGTTTACTATAAAATTAAACACAACGGAGATCTTTTTGATCATGATATGAGTCATTTTAGGAACATGAGATCAAAACAAAAAAATAACTGGAAGGATGACATGTTTAGGTTCCTGTTTTAAGAAAACTATAACATAGACATACATGAACTATAAAAAGTATTTTCCTCCAGCAATTTGTCACATTTAGTATTAACCCTAAAAAATGTTCTTTATTATGAAACACATTCAATATTTAATTATTCAAAATGAACATAATGTTAACCCGTAGAATATAGGTTTGCATATCTTGGCTTCTTCATCTGTATTTTTTATTTTAATCTCATTGCCTCTTAAACTTTGATTTCTTTTCCTGGAATCTGAACATGAAGCTGTTAATGTGTGTTTGACACCAATTAAACAGAATATCTCACCCCAGGTTGGCAATGTGTCACATTTCTGAAACAGAGGGATTTCTCAGCTCAACACACAAATACCTATGTTACTGAGAACAAAACCAGCACCTGTAGTTTAAAAAAGAGCTGTGTTAACATTGCACAAAATAAGCTCTGACAGTCTGCATATGGTCAGCAAAACTGAGTGATTTTCCTACATTTATCACATCTGTAAAAGTAGGGAGTCACTTGGGTTAATATCCTGACCAGGCACTCAGTTTTATATACAAATAACTATTTCCCCCACATTTGTAACTTTTATTTCATGCTATGGGTGTTGTATAGATGTTTATGCATCGTCTGCTGGAAAATTGTCCAAGAAACTGGATTCATTTACAGCTGCACACAAGTAGAGGGAGCTCTTCTCCTGCTCTTTAAACAGCTACCCTTTCTCTTCACCTCATCTGTTTTCCTAATGTTACATTTGATCAGCATCTTATTTGTAGTATCTGCTATGATTAATAATCATGGCATAAAGTTCAGATCCTATAGCAGTATTTGTTAGGTGCTTCAATGTTTCTTCTAAGACTTTATGAACTTCTGTTTTATTTCTGGTTTAACGCAGCTGCACATTGCAATCAGCAAGACGAGTGCCAAAGTGTTCATCGACTGCAAAATGGTGGCAGAGAAGTCCATCAACGCAGCGGGAAACATCTCCACAGATGGAGTGGAAGTTCTGGGCAGGATGGTTCGCTCCCGAGAGAACAAGGACAACTCTGCACCGGTAAATAGAGCGTCACACACAGCGCAGCACATGCAGCACTGCACCACTAGATTCCACTTTACTGTCTATCCAGATCAGATCATTATTGATTACTGAAGCAACTAAATTCTTACCCTAATATGATTCAAACTACGTTTTGAGTCTTTAAACAATCCATGACCACAGAGTATAATTTTATTCCCAGCAAGTCTCGGATCTTCAGACTGGTTATTACCGGTCCATCTGATTGGTCGGGTCACAGAGATCATCTCAAGAAGTCCTGTTATGAGACATTAATTATAGTGATTGATTAGCAGGGTTTATGTTTGTGTCTCTATTTATTCATTTAACTTTCTGTCCACCTTCATTTGGAGTCAAATCTTTAAAACATATTTGAGTTTAAAAACATGAAACATCAATATCTGTCCAATTTTCCATATCAGAGATTATCATATTGCTTTTTTGCTAATTCAGCTTCAATTTAGTGAGGACCCGAAGGTAAACTGCCAAAATTAAAAGGTTTAGTGAACAAATTTAAAATAAAATCATAGTTAAGAAACCAGGCACATTTTCCAAATGAATTTCCTCTTTTGACTTCATCTGTTTAAAGATGTGGTTTTTACATTTCGCCTATTTGTCTGTTAAAATAACTTATTAGATGTTTGTGACTGCTTCCTCTGTTTTTTGGTTGGCAATCAGGCTAAACTTCATTACATTTCTGTTATGTCTGAAAGCAAAACTTGATCATAAATTTACTATACTGAGTCATATTATGACTTTTTGCTGTTATGTAGGTTTATTATTCCTAAACTAAATGTGTAACTTCACTGTAAAACAGTCTAACCCTTATGTCCAAGTTTTAGTTGCATTTTGCAGTGTTCAGACTTGTATCCCATGTTGTTTTCTCTGCAGTTCCAGCTCCAGAACTTTGACATTATTTGCAGCACATCCTGGGCCAACAGAGACAAGTGCTGTGAACTGCCTGGTCTGGTGAGGTCACATTTTTTTTTACTGTTTTGATTTTGATACTTTGTCAAAATTGGATACAATTTTATTGCTCATTTATTTATTTCACACATAAAAGTTTGTTTTTTTTCACATTTTTTAAAAGTTGGCTTCTGCTATGAAGCGAAATGTTAGACATGATGCTCTTTGTGTTTTCACTTCAGTGAAATTCTTTTAATAGCTTATGAGAGAAAAGTCAAGACAGCGGTCAAGTGTTGTAATTGAATTATATTTCATAAACATTTAACCACCCAATCAGTTTGAATTTGTTAAATGACTATACAAATAGGCCAGAGAAAAGTTGGAAAAAAAAGTTTTTATTGTACCTCAGATGGAGATTTTATAGATTTATACACTAATCTTCCATCAGTTCATTAGTTCATATTTAATGTCAAACCTTTACTTTGCTTGCTTTTATCATATTTTAATCCCTTTGTCATCACATTAAGTTTCTTGTTTCTTTGTCATTTGCATGGCATTATCATCATCCAGAGGAAGGAGGTAGACTGTCCAGCCTTACCCAAAGCCTGCACCTGCACACAGGACAGCAAAGGTCCAGCTGGTCCTCCCGGAGTGCCTGTGAGCAACTTATTATTTTTAACCTGATTATCTATGAGAAGTATTGCAGCTTTGTCACTAAAAAGAATAAATAGAAGAAACACCTGCATGTACTTTCAGTATATAAAACTTTTCAACAGCACAGATCAATTGAATGACTTCCAATACGCCCAACGTTCACTTGGCAAATACAGATCATATCATATATAATCATCCATTCAGTCCAACAGTTTACTTGTTCTCTTTCTCTTGTCATTTTTTCCTTTCCTTTCACACAAATAAACATGTGTAAGTCCTGAATGTTGTTGATCTTGCATAGTAATTCCAATGTTTTTGGTTTGTATCAGGGCGGTCCTGGAATCCGAGGGGCCAGAGGTGATCGTGGCGAGCCGGGTCCAGTGGTAAGTTGTACTGCTTTACTCTTTTTAAAGCCACCGCTGTGTGGAATGGGTAATAAAAAATTTATCATTCTGAAATAAATCTAAAACCAGGTCCAATTTTAGAGAAAAAAAAAACATACTACAAAGCTCTGTAGTGTGTACTGAGCCGTGCTGGTTGTTTGTGAGCTGAAAAATGTTGTTTAGTGAATTTGATGCAATTTCACTTGACCAAGTCTTGTGAAAAACACTCCTTATTCGTGGCTTCACCGTTTCACATATTGAAAGCAACAAACCAAGCATGAATGGGTTTTTCAGTCACTCTTATTTACTTTTTAGTCCAGGCATTTAAATATGTTGCAGTCAAACAGGGCCTGCATTTCAAGACAAACTGAAAATGTCAAAACTATTTTTCTAATTTCAAGATTTGTGAAGGATTTTGTTTCCAAGAGAACAATGTTTTCCATTTTGTTTTAATTTTTCTCCGTCCTTCAAGCTTATCCTTTATTTTGTAGCTGCTCTGTAGCTGGCTGTTGTTGAATGTGTCTTTTTTTTTAAATAACCTAATTTGGTTCAAAAGTTAAATAAAAGACATTTGTTTAGCTTTCTTATCAGGTGGTTGTGTTCTTTAATGTGTCTGTTTGATGCATAGAGAGTGACAGCTGCTTTTCTCTTGGTTGTCTGACCTGGTATTGGCTAAAAGACTCATTCGGATTCAGGTTGTTGGGTTTTTTTGGTGTTTTTTTAAGATTGTAAAGTTAATTCTATGTTATTGGTGATATTAACTATTCCTAGTTCAAATCTGTAATTTCTATTCTTGTACATAATGTGAGTAGTGGTATCAATGCCCTAATATTCAGTTTGGGGCATAAGGGATTAATTATGAGAGCTGAATTATTTTTGCCTTTCTGGGCTGGAAACTGAGTTCTGATCATTTCTTTTAGATGTGCTTATGGCCTAAAATATTTAGAAAGTGATTTCTATGGCCCAGTTCAGTTCCCTTTGTGACACGTTTTAGCAGGAAACATCACAGTTTAACAGTTCAATAATAGAGAAATAACTAGAGAAGTGCTCCTTCAGCAAACTCAACAAATGAAAACAAGATTTAAGACATGCAAACATTGAAAAAAATCTTTATTTTCATAAAAAATATTATTTATTTGATGGCTACACATAGATTATGCTACATGGATAAAAAAGGACAATAACATTAAAAGAACAACAAGCTCTCCTTTTTACATTTACAATTTTAGAATATAGTTTATTTTATGCGTCTCCCATGTTTAAACTTTACAGTATATTTTTGAATTAGTCAAAATATTAAATTTACTACATTGACAAAACTGTCCAAACCCCATGACACTGCATCAAAGTAGATCATTTAAAAGCTATAACCTGAAATTATTTTGCTATTACTATTTTCCAGTAAAGATTGATTTTCTTTTTGCCACACTGACAAGATTCACCAGATAAAATATTTATACGATTGCAATACATGTGTAAGTTTAACCATAATGAGAAATGGTTAAGAACTCATAACTAAATTCAACTTTAATCATAATTAATCATTTTTAATCAAAGCATCATCTGTTGTCATTTGGTTATATTGTCCTTTTGCACAAAACTCAGAAAGAAACATTAAGCTATGAACTGTGACTCAAAATTAACTGTGACTCAAAAAACCTAAACATCATTTAAAAAAGTAAAGTGGTTGTTACTTTTTCTGATTTGATGCTTTATTTTTCACAAATCCAATTCCTTTGGTAGGAATATGATTGTATCCATTTCCCTTCAGAATTGCAGCATGCTGCATATGTCTCATAATTGGTAGATGTTGGCAATCCTGATCCCCAAAACCTGTGGGAAAAATAAGACTTTATTAGACATGACTGATGTTTTTGTCAGAATTAAACCTACTTTCTTTTTGATGTCTAATTATTACTTTTTTTCATACACTAGGAGGGCTGGGAGAAAAACACACTTTCATTTTATGTCCAGGTGCTCAGTCTTATACTTCCTGTATTCTTCTCAGTATCTGATCTGAATAATTCTTTAATGACTTTAAAGAAAACATGCAATGCAGTGTTTGTTATGATCTTTAACCTGTTCAGGTTATGTCATTTCCTGTTTGTTTTTTTCTTCTGAGTTGGTTGCATCCTTTGCTTCCTGCATTATTTGATAATTGTTGCTAATATGATCTTCATTTTGCTCAGGATACAGTTTGTATTTCCTGGGTTTGCTATTGCCAGATTCTGGTATTTATTTATTTTTGTTCATTTCGATTTTTGCTCATATTAGCTTAATTATTTATTTGTCTTTGTTTTCTATTGTCTGTTTGGTCTTCCTGTGCGACTCTGCTCGTGTTTTATTTCTTTTCCATGAAGTTTTCTGCAATCAGCTCAATAATTACTTCATCTTTCCTACTTCATTATGAATCCAAATTATTTACCTCATCTAGTGTTAAATGGTTTTCTTTTGAGAAATATGGTTTGGTGGAACCTTTGGTTTTAGATTTTCTCCTCTTATTTATACAGAGCTATAAACTTCATAACTTTAAGCCTGTTATTTTCATTATAGTTAAAGCAGATATATAAACCAGGGGTGCACAAAGTCGATCCTCGGGGGCCGGCATCCTGCATATTTGAGTTCTCTCCCTGGTTTGACACACCTGGATCATATGATGGTTCATTAGAAGGCCTAAGAAAAACATTGACGTGCTGAAATGGCCGTTACCACCAGGGAGAGAACTGAAATGTGCCGGACGCCGGCCCTCTAGGACCGACTTTGGGCCCTGATATAAATAGACTTAATTGGAAAGTAGAAACCAACAAAAATTATATTGCTTTGACTTCTTAAAGGTTAGTAATAGTTCATAAATTGCATGAAAGAATCCATAGAAAGAATCCAAGTAGACCTATTTATTTTTTCTTTGACTTATTGTGTCACATATATAGTTGCATCACATAGAAATGGTAATGTGTATTTTAAACTATTAACTGATGCAACTGATATGGTTTTGGAGTGCAGAAGTAAACCTAAAAAGATCATATTAAAAAAAGAAAAAGACTATTTTGCTGTGGAGCACCAAGCAGTAACTATTATAGCATTACCAGTTAAAGAATGAGTTCAATGTAATGTGGGTACGCCTTTCAAAAATGTCTTTAAACTCACGTTTCTGTGATTGGTGATTCATCCACCCATTTCCAGTCATATGTCCATTGATGATTTATCCACTGTTGAGTCCATCGAAGACCAATCCAAGATTCTCCATTCTTATTTAACTGTGTTATGAATTCCTAGTTGAGGGATGATAACAAAAGACATGTTTTGTTTAAAATGGAATAACGAGGTGGATGTAATACAGTAAAAAGATTGCAAGTTTATACAAAGTGAATCTTTGTAAAAGCAGCATTTTATTTCAGAATAGTAAACATCTATCTTTATAACTTATTTCATTTAAAATAAAACATAATTGATCTTTCATTTTAGATTTCTTTCAAATTCTGTTATTTCTTCCCTATTCTTTTTTTAACTGTTTTTTTAACAGTTTTTTTAATTGGTCAAGTTATAATGAATTGCTTTGTTTTGTGGGTGCAACTTATAAGACCATTTTCTGCATCACCTAATTAAAAATACTAAATTATAATAATATTCAATGTGGGTATGATGAATTACTCAGAAACATTGCTAAAATATGCCCAGGATATTTGATAAATAGGCATGATACGGGATTAAGAATGATCTGATTTACCCAAGAAGGGAAATCCAGTCCTCCAGAGCTGCTGTCCCTCAACTTTGATATTCATCCTTTATAAACCTGAGTCACATGAACAGTTTGTTACCAGACCTTTGCAGAGCTGAATGCACAGGAAATTCATCCATTTGCATCTAAATTTTGAGGAAAACAGCAGCTCATGAGGAACATTTGGTTTTAGTTTTACTCTTATTTATACAGAGCCCTAAACTTCATGGACATTTTATCCAATTACTTTGTTCCTCATTCTGCCTAATTTGTGTAACCTTTCATTCTTTTTGCATTAGAGGAGAGTTTGTTTGTGGAGCGAGATGACAGAAATAGACAGTCTGTTCTTACTTCTCAGAACTAAAAAGTATATCATCTTTGTAGCCCATCTATAAAAACTGACCACAAGTTAGATTTGCATCAAAAAACAAACAAAAACCAAAAGTTAGACCAAGAATGACAGATGAAAATGTGAAGAAAAAACAGTAAGTAGATTTATTTTTTTGCTTACTTTTTTTCACTACTAAAGAAAAAAAAAAGTATGATTGATGAAGCTTCAATGCATCAACTTGTAAGATAAAGACTCTTTCCACAAAGGAAAATTCACCCACACTCATCTTATGGAGCGACATCTCAGTATCAAGGAGAGCAGAGAGTTAATTTTTTTGTGAATCAGAATTAGTGATATATCGAGTTAAACTCGGGTTCATTTGGACAGTTCAGTGCATCAAAAGATTCCCGGGTTCCATCAGGGTCTAGAGGAATTCTTAATGGAGCTGATGTTGTGTCTATAATGAGCTTTTTCTGCTTAAAAAATAAAACTAACTTACAGAGCAGAGAAGAGGATGAGGAGACCTCAGCATGCCTTCTTCCTGTTTATCATTTGACTTTCCTCAGTCGCCTCGTTTCCACTGCTTTAATCTTCCTATTTAACTATTATTAGCTGCAGATCTGTGAAGTTTGTGTTTCATAGCATTTTACACTGAACACAAGCTGCTCAGAATGACAATTTGCTCCATTCAAACCACAATCGTGTGAGTGAAGTATTCTACTCATGCATTTTCTGTGTTCAAACAGAGAAGAGCAGCAGTTTTAGAGTTTTACCAGGAGAGCCTATGCAATATGTGTTGGAAGCATAAATCATTTATTTGCCAAGGACTGAAAACAAGATGTCAGTAGGTGGCGATGTACCAAAAAAAATGTGCAAACAGACCCGATGGAGCAAAAGAATAGTCAAGTTGCTCTGAAAAATCCTGTTTATAGTTTTCCAGACAATAGAAACACTCAAAAACACGCACAAATTACTAAAGTTTTTTTTGTACTGTTGTAACCATGAGACAATCTCCCCTTCAGTTCAACCTTATAACTGGAGACACATTGTTGATGTTACATTATAAAGTAACTTTCAATTAAGTTTTGGCAAAGATCAAAGTCATTTTCATAGGCGGCAGATTGTTGTTGTTAGCAGCTGCTGAAAGTAACTAAAATAGTTACTTTTAATGTTAGTTACTTTCCACATCAAGTAATCAGTAATCTAAGTTATGTTTTCAAGGAGTAATCAGTAATCTGATTAAAGTTACTTTTTCAAAGTAACTATGCCATCACTGCCTGTTTGTCTTCTGTGCAGAGAAATTTTGGCTATAATGAAAGAATATAATCTAAGAATATAATCTATCAAGCTTCTCAGAAACACACAGACAAAGACAAGAATATAGAGCAGCACAATAATGCATTTTCAGTTTATAATGCATGCACTTTAATTTATGTATTTATCTTGATATTCAGAAACATGTTGTTTTTCAATACAATTAAAGTTTTTGCTGTTTGTCTGTTGAAAATGTTTTCACTTGAGGTTACTGACAGAGCCATAACAAAATATTGCTTTATTCTTTTAATTATTAAATAATACACACTGTGTTAGGGCTTGGTTCAATTAGCTATATGCAATCATTTCAATATATTTTAATAAACATTGAACCAGTCCGGCCCTCAGCTTGTAGCAAATTAGTTTTTTTGGCCCTCTGTGTATTTGACTTTGACATCCATAGTTTAATACCTTTTCTGAAACAATTAATGGCCTGAAAAAGTTAGAAGCATGATGGTGAGTGAACACCTTCTGCTTGTTTTCTCCTCTTCAATGTTCTTTCTTAATTTATCAGAAATCTTTGTGAAACATGGACTGATTCCTTTAAGCTTGGTTATTTAGAAGATGAAGAAAATAAATGACAGATCTTTGTCATTTATCAAGAGTCTGTGAAGAGCAAAGCACACTCTCCAGCCTAATTCAGGTTCTCTGTATGCTTAAAATCACAAATCATCTAGATCATGTTTTCTGTAATGCTATCAATTCTAGATGGCAGAAAATTATCATCTCTATATCAGCCTTCTGGAATAAGACTTTCTTTTTTTTTCTAAAATAATTCAGAACAAAGACTTCTCACAGCCATATTGTTGCTGTTGGATCCAACAGATAAGATCTGTATCATTTAATCTAATGACACTGAACATATAAAATATCTTCTTCATTCTTTAATAATTTGGCTCCAGTGATGATTATTTTTTTCTGTTGTTTTTTGGGACCAGCCTTCTTTTTGTCGTATCAATGAAATTGATCTTATTTCATTTCCACCTGTTTTACATAAAAGTAGGGCTTCATTGTATTGTTTAATTATGTTTCATTAGGAATATTAATTGTTCAAACATTGCATTAAATACATAATATTAGATCAGAACCAAGATGATAAATTCTTATGAAGGCTCACACAGATATGAGCAGACTCACCTGTTCAGCTTTACTGTTTATGATCACCAGATCGGCTCCTTTATCCTGACAGTAACTCCTGCTATCAGACCAACTTTTTCTCTCCTGGCTTTTAAAGTAACAGCTGCATCCAAATCGGGTCCATCCATCTGGGCACCACTTTCCTTTATACGAGGTCAGAGTTTTAGGAAGCGTTATGTTAAATGCATCAGTCAACATTTGCTAAAACATATATTCCAACAACATTGATTTTCTTTTTCTTTAGATTATTCCTAAAACGTTTGTCTTTTTTTCCCCAATGTTTTGTATTTTGACTAAAATTGAATTTGGGAAAATGCAAGCCATGATTTTGGGTATGTAATACATATTTTTATTTCCAGTTTTTCCACTTTTTTCTTACCTGTAATTGTATTGTTCAACCTGTTTACTTGATCAGTCAGTTGATTGTGACTGTTCTGCAGCTCACTGTAGTTCGCTGGAGAACAACATTCATTGGTTAATAAGTGAAGCAGTGAATTGTGAATATACTGATTAAATATGAAATGAGCCCTAAAGGTTTGGCTTGTAACTCTAGCTTGTAATTGTTTCCAGTTTCTGAAAAATAACATTAATTAGAAACGGAAGCCCAAAAAAAAAACAAAAAACATTTAATGGCTAATTATGTTATTTGGTGTTGACGTATGAAATGTCTCTTACCTGAAAGACGGCTGTGGATGTTATTCAGTTTGTTGATTTCCAGAGTGACTAAAGGGCGAATGAAACAGAATTATTATATTAAATCAGCAGTTTTAAAGTAGTTTATGAATGTTATTATTCCCAGCTGGTGATCAGGTAAATTTCCAGTTTTTAATGATGTACAAGCAAGATGTTTTTCTTCCTAATACAGTAAAATGAGGAAATGTCTGTCATAATGATGATTACAGCAGTTCAATGCAATGGACTGCCCACTCTTCCTAAGGGCTTATTCAGGAGGAGGAATTTGGTGTGTTTTTGTGTTTCCTTTGTGAGTTTGGGATCTGTTAGAGAGTTTACCGTCTGCCTACCTGAGGATAATCACCTCATAGGAGACTAAGGATTATAAGAAACCGCAGGAGCATCACTAGTTGACTATTATGACAGTCTCTAGGCCTCCTGCCACCTGTTGTGGCTTTCTGAAAAATGTTCATTTTCAACTTACTTTGTTTTCAAGTTCTCTCTGCATACAAGCATCTCAAGATCCTTCTGTGGAACAAGTTGCTCACTCGTTTCCTACATCTCTCAGATACCTGACCAGGCATCTGCTTTGGAGACTCACCAGCATTCCCAGAACTCACCTCTGGAACATCTCATTCCTCCTCACTCCACACCACAACCTGACTTTTCCCTCCTACCTTCAGCTTCAAGCCACAGTTAGCCAATAGTCTTAGCTGCCACTGTTGCATCCTTTATTTTTGAACGCAGAATAACTTACCTCTGTGCCATTCAAAAAATCCCAAACCTGATCATTCCAGGTTGGTTTCAATCTTATCTAAACCTTCTATTGCTTTCACCAGTCTCCTTGGTTTGATTGTGCAAATGGGTCATTGCTGCAAAGTTAGTGACTCAGTGCAGTTGGTTAATTTTCTTAGTTGAAAAATCTTTTACTAATTTACATAGTAAACTGAAATTCACTGCTTTGTTTTATAACCAGAATCAAATTTGAATGCATAGAATTGACTTTGAATCTGTCTATATGATTGAACTGAATGTTATTTTGATGTAACTGGATTTGCTTATCAGTAAAGTCCCTTGAAATAACTTGTAAATCTGTGCCTACACACCTGGGGATAATCAGGAGAATTGAATTAAGCTCAACCTATTTATTTGTTTTTCAAAGAACCTTTTCAAAATTTAACAACCAATGAAAACAAGTGACATTGCAAATTATAGTCTAAGTGAGGTAAATGTTCAAATGCCTTGTTTCTGTTTTTATTCACTCTAGATGTTCTTTTCTTTCACTTGGTCTAGCAAAATTCATTACAGACAACAACATATTAAAGACAGACACAGAAATTCAACAGCAAAATGCTTTCTGTCTCAATCTGACTCCTAATGGTTTGTATCAAAATCATTTGTTCAGTAAATTTGATGAGCAGTTCAACATTTTACAAGTAAAATTTGATAGCATTAATTAATTGTATGCTAATAAAACACAAAATATTTTTATTGTATATTTATACTGCATATCATGAGGATTTCAAAAGTGACTTTTACATTTTAGCAGTTCTTTTATTTGAAACTTCTAAAGAAAAAAAAACATTTTTAGAATCAATAATTTTCTAAGTACTGAAAAATCTAAAATTAAACAGACTAAAGATTTAATAAAATCACATCTAAACCATAACTTTAATTTCTTTTTTTATTATTATTTTATTCTTTTTATATAACCTAGGTTATATCTGGTGTCAGTGAAGTCAGGTCACTTTTTGTGAGCCTCTTCACAAACTATACTGAGAACTGCTGCTGATCTTAAATGTGGTTGAGTCACAGCAAATTTACAGAACTTCTTTTGAGTGTGAGGATAGTGATGACTTTACTGCGCGCTTTGTAAAAGCTGTAAAGCATTTTCCCCACTGCTTTTCCTGGCTGTCCTAACACAATGCTACCGCCACAATCTCATCTAATCCGCATGTTTCCACACAATCTGTAGAAATTTCAGAGTGGATGTTTCTGTATGTCCAGCCTTAATTTCACCCATTGAAAATAAGTAAAACATATTCTGCAGAGAACTCAGTGGATACCAATGTCTGTTCACAAGGAGCCTGTTGTTAGAGCTACAATATCTTGATTCTCTGAACTGCTCTGTATGATCCTTTTTGTACGAATTAATTACTTCTCTACCAGCCTGGTTCCCATTGTATGCTTGCAGCCTTACATAGAATGTGGATATTCTTACAGATTAACTTTATCCAGTATTGGGGGCACCGAGACATTGTTCATATTTTCATAAACCTAGTCAATGATGCCAAACATGAAACTTTAGAATGTATGCTATCAGCTAAAAATCGCCTCTGAGTTTTATTCTAACAGTAAATTCAATCAGTGATAACTGAATATTTGTTTTCTACTGGTGAAAAAATAAAAAAAGGAATAAATCTACAAATTGCCCATTATAACCACTGGAACAACACAAACAGCTTTTCAGCAGGTGCTAAACAGGTGTTGAATAGTCAATTTTAGAGCTACTATTGCTGAAAACAAACTCATAAGTGAACCGCGTTGCGCTGTCGTGATCTATAACTCTCAAATCAACAGAGCGCTTCTTGATGAAAATTCTATTATAAATGCTTAATAAATATGTTAATCCAGAATGTGATCAAAATACACTGAGAATATCTGTTTTGATGTGTTAGTTTTTCTTACAGTACACGGTCAGACTGATGATCCCAGCTAATATCAATATGTACAGCACCCATCTGCTCAGGGTTGCAAATCGAGCAGACACTTTGTTGGCTGCAGGTTGATTTTCAGTTTGTTTTCCTACAGAACCAAAGTTAAGAGAGAATAATTAACTTTAGTTGAACACATAAACTCAAAATGACTAAAATTAACATGTGTCCTGTTTGTCTCATTATCTTTACTTACCTCCTCCCAACTGAGAATCATCTATCATGTCATTTATATAATTATAGATGTGAACCTTCTTCTCCTCCCACTCTGCTGTTCCTTCTTGCTTTCCTTTGCCATATCTGACTCTTTGGATTAAATCTGGATTGGACTTAATATCTGAGAACATGCTGATGAGAATAAGACAGCTGAAGAGATGCTGAACTGGGCTCTCCACTTAGTGAACAGAGAAACGTTTCAGGCAGTGCGGTTAGAGACACCATTTCCTGTCCTGACTTTTTTTTTGATTAAAAAAAAAAAAAAAAAAAAGAACTTTGGTGTTGAAGCATTTAAAGAAACAGGCGTCATTGGAGTCTTTTATTTTACTATAAGTAAACATTACAGATAACGAAAATAGAAAATTGCATTTAGTATTTTTAGTTCTACTGCCACTTTATTAAAATAGTTATTCAGTCATTACCATATTGTTTTTTTCTTATACGGTAAAATAAAAGTTGTTGATAGAACCTGTTGTTTGTCTTTTGAGCAGCAATGTTTCCAGGAAGGGTTATTCAAAGAGCTCAACAAGTACACCACAAATTACCATGTGTACCTCAAACTGGCAATGACACTTAAGCTGCTAAGTTATTCTCTATCGGCTTATAAGGAGACAGAACTAACATTTTTCTTATGTTGAGAATCGATCTCATCAAACAAATGAGTTTTTTGTTTAGTTGAGCTTCATGTCTGCCTAATAAACATGCCTTTCCAAACATGCTAACAGTTGCAAAAACAGCCGTTACAGTCCGGTTCAGGTTTAGAAAGTCACATTATAGGTGGTGCATCATTACATATAAATGTCCTCTTTCCAGTGTTGTGCATATGTTGATGATGGACTTATGTTTTATATTTTCACAAATTTATTGCGTCTGCTATTCTCCTAAGTTTGCTGAATCTCGGTTGAATGCTATCAAGCTTGCATCTATTTTTGTCCACACAAAGCTTTAGGACATGATGCCTGTTGTGTTTGAAGACCCAGAAAAAACGAGCTGCTCTTGCATATTTTTGTTGACTTTCTGCTGATTCAAAATGTCGGCAGCAAACCAACTTCATGTCCGACTAAATTTTCTTGTTGTACTATAAACTGTAGGCTTATGTTAACTAATTAATTACAAAGCAATTGACATTTTATCTGAATTTTGACTGAAATACACATTGTGTTGGTGTGTTGCATTTTTCTTACAGTATATGGTCAGGGTGATGATGGCAGCTGACATTATAACCCATGGCAGCATTTTGCAGGGTTTTACTCTTCTGTAAGAACTTTTCCTCCCAGCTGGTTGTCTTTGTGTTTGCTGGTCTGGAGAGGAAAAAATAGGAAGGAAATTAACTTTGAAATTGATCAGGGAGTAAAATAAACTTTATGTTCTTATATTTATGTATCTGGCTTAAATAACATGTTTAAATATATTATGCATTATTAGGTCTTAAATTTCTTCTCAAGGCTAATTTTGATCAACTGTCATTTAGGACATAAACAGTCACCGCTGCTAAGAGCATCATTTTATTTATTATTTCCACCAGGAAAAAGAAATCGGCATCTACCTTGAGCTTTTCAGAGGAAGCGTATTGAAGCAATAGTGAGGAAGCATATTGAGCAGCAGTGTTTGCAGGAAGGGTGTAGCATCAGTTTTATAGGAGCTATAAAATTTTCTGATGGACATATCTGCTGCCTTAGGACTTAATATGTGAACCATTTTGGAGTGAATGTCCCTCCATTATTCCTCAAGATTCTGGGATATCCATTTTCAAATGAATGCAAAATAATCTTTTGTCTGAAGGGAGATCTTTGTACCAGTGAACAACAATCAAATTCTCCCTTTCTCTTTAGTCTGGTTAAGATTCCTCTGAACTTGTTTCTGATTCAGGCTTAGATAAAGAATATGATAGTACTGGATTCCTCTATGTGTGATGCCTCTTGAAGCATTGAGTCCATCTTTATGAATCACTCTCAAACTATTCAACAGGCTTTGCTTCCCAATCCTCTCCAGGTTGTTACCTTCCTCTGAAATGTCCATTTATAATCCTGACCAGTGCTGTGTAAACAGGTGGCTTCTTTAACAGTTACTGTTTGAGGTGCTTTCTGCTTATGAAGGGAGTAAGTGACAATCTGCTGGACAGCCATAAAGTCGGTAGTGGTCTCTATAAATTTGTTTGCCATAACATGATTTTTTATCGATTGAAAATAAAATTCTATCAGTCTTGTGTTTCCATTAACATAAAATAATTCAGAGAATTAACAGAATGCTTGATATGTTTTGTTCTGTGTGTAGTGAATTGTAACAATCTCAGATTTACCTTTTAAGTTAAATGCTCAAAATGTGATGTTTTGATAGTATTAAGATTTTTTGTGATGCACCTCTGCAAAGGCAATTCACTGGCTCTTTATCAACTCAGAGGCTATGTGCTCTAATCTAGACCTCAACACCGCAAAGTGTAATGATCATTTGATGCACATAATCTGGATTTGACACAATAACACATTTAGATGTTTATTCTGAAACAAACATGGAGACATTGCTTTGCAAGAAGAGACAGTGGATGCTTAAATCTGAGTTTTAGTGCTTAAAAATAACTGACATTCAGATTCTCACTAAAAAAACAGAAAAGTCAGATGATGTCCTATAATTTACGGTACTTACTCTCTTCCTGTGGCTGAGAAACAGAGTAGTAATCATCAACGTCTTCTGCAGATTCGTAGATATTAACCTCCTTGTCCTCCCAGTCTGTTCTGTTCTCTTGTTCATTTCTGGTATATTTCACCTTCTTAGATGACTGTACTTGGGAGTAAATATCTGAGGACATTTTGATACAGTTCAGTGCTGGACTTGATTCCTCTGTTTGTATTTTGTGAAGTTCAAATCTACACTTGAATATCCTGTAACATAAAAATCTGCTTGTCAGAACTTCTGCTGCTGCTATTTTTGATCCTTCTGTCTTCTGGTTTCAGAAGAAATAGAAATGAGGAAGTGGTTACGCTTAAAATCGCACACCCAGTTAGATCATCATGTTACTTTCATTTTATGCTTAAATATACTATAAATTTCTGTTTATCATTATTTTTTGTAATTTCCTGGCTCAAAAAGACTTAGTTTTTAGGAATAGGGTTTTCCTTTTTGTATTTCATTAATGGTGTGGTTTGAACCTCTCACAAACCACACAGACTCATCCACAGCAGATTAGCATTTTTTTTTCCACAGGAAATGTGTTTCTTTAAGTTCTGCTTTTTCTAATGAAGAAACCGAAAGCATTTTCCTCTGAGCACTCATTAACATAAACCATGACAGATAATATTTTAGGATTTTCAAACATTTTATCATGTGCATCATACCGTCTTTACAAATGGCATACCTTTACAGCTTTGTTTAATTCGATTTCAGATTAACCTAATGTTATGGAAACCTTATTAATCGCTTTTGTGGTTTATGGTAGTCTATTCATTGGAATCATCATTCAGATACCTTCATTTTTAATTATTGAAATTTATATAAATTCTCCATAATTATTATGTTAGTTTGTTTAAACTGTTTGCTAGTCATTCTAATGTGATGTTGAACAAGGAGGAGCTGAAGTGCTGTTCGCTGTAACAGCTCTATGAACATTAATATCTGTTAAGATTTTGCCTGGTTGTTAAATGATTAATGTTGTGGTACCAGCAGAATATTCCACTCTTCTGACATCTAGATTAATTTCAGGTTTGTAGCCATGTTTATTACATCCAATACAAATGTCTTTTAATATATTGTTTGTTTTCTCTGAAGTTCAGTTTCTATAGAATTTAGCCTGTTGTTGAGAGTTGAACTTGTAGGCATTCAGACATTAGTTTGGTATTTTTCTACTGTTTTAAAAATAATATTTTGTTTAAAAATATTTTTTTTAAGAATTTACATTTGTGACTGACTCAGATTTAGCTGTTGACAGATTAAATCATTAGATACTGTACATTTTATAAGTTACTTTCAGCTAACTGAAGCCTTCATCTTATTTTGCAGTATGAAGATTGTTATATTATTGTTAAATTATTTCCAGCCATTCATTTTAATGCTTGAACTGAAGTAGGAAGAACAATCTACTGGCACATCAGCCCCACCAAGATGGACTTTTCAGTAGCTGCTGCTGGTTGTTAGTGTTTCTGAATCAAACAAATAGCAGAAAAACAAGAATCAGGTTTTGTTGAGATTTTTCTTTTCCTGAATCAGCCTTTTTTTTTTCTGACAGATCCAGTATTTTAATCTTTGCATATTTGAGCAGAACAATATACTTCCAATCTCAATACTTTATAAAAAGTCTTGCTGCAGTGGAAGGTTCAGTGTAGCAGGCTGCACACAGCCAGGCAAGACCTTTTTTACCAGCAAGAAACAAACATGATTAACATAAGATAGCAGCAGTTCTGTTTCTGAAACAGCACTACTGCCTACTGCTGCTCAAAACAAATAAAAAATACTTAACTAAAATTTCAACATTACACAACTAACATAAGGCTTAAGTTGGGTAGACAAAACCTGTATCTAAGTAAAATTGGTATTGCATCAAAATATAATTTCAGTGTAAATAAAAAGCAGTTCTTAGAGTAAAAACAGTACAAAGATGAGTGTTTCTTGTTTGAGCATAAGGTCATATTTATTTATTTGTCATTATTAATATTTAAATAAAACACAAAATAATGCTCTAATTCTATTTATTTAAAAAAAAAACACTGATAATAACTAACATATTTTCAAAATGCAGATTAAGGCACAGAAATAAAACTTTTACTTTAAGCTTAAGTTAAATAATTTTTGCATATTTGAGCAGTACAAAATGCTTCCAATCTCAATACTTTATGAAAAGTCTCTGCTTTGCTCTGACTCCAGAATTCACCATGTGGCAATGCGTTAGTGACATGTAATATATACCCATAATATAATATAATATAATGTGTTGCTGCCTGTAGCGTCAGTGCAGCAGATAAATGAGCTTCCAAGGCTTAACCTGCAGCGTTTAGCCAGCTGTTCCAGTGCAGACTGGCAATTGTATTTAAGTGGTTTATATTCTTCATCCAGTCTGTTTTTATCTTGTCTTAAAAAGCTTGTCTTAAGTAGAATTGTAACTTTTCTTTATATATAGTACTTAAGTGTTAGTAACGTTCTTTCCAGGTTTAAGATCACCAAGATACCGGATATTTCTTTTCTCACAGATCCAGTATTTTAATCCAGTTTTGGCGACCATCCAAAGTCCTTGTTGATCAGTAAATGCTTTGAACCCTAAGTTTGGTCGGTTATTTATGCCTGTCTTCCAGGAACTGCAAAAATGAACACATCCAGTTAGATCAAGACAGAAGCAGAAATTATTTAATCTATTTTACTTTATTTATGATGTTTCTAGCTAAAATGGGTTGTAATTATGAAAAACAGCTTCAGCTGAAAATATGAGCATTTAAAGGCTCACAGCAATCCAGACCACATATAATTAAAGTCCTGTACAGAATACATTAAGAACAATCAAATTACAAATGGTTATATTCATATGTCATTTCACTATTGTAGCATTCTATTGATCAACCTAATAATCTGTAATCAACCTCCTGATATTGAAAAGAAAACCAGTTGAAAATGTAAAAAGAAATTATGCTCAAAATTCAGATCAATTCATTTGACATTTCATTCATCACATATGAGACTCTATTCCAAGCTTGTTGGAGTTAATACAATCTGAGTGAAAATGTGTTGATATTTTCAGTAACATAACATAATTTTTGTTTTATTTCTGTCTGGACTTCTCAGTTAACCATATCTTTGGTACAAAGTGAACCTTCTCACCTAAATACCAAGTCTGATCCATCTACCCATTTCCATTTCATTTTCCACCCATCTGGAACTTGAAGACCGATCCAGGAATCTCCATGTATCTTCATTCTTCTAATTATCTCCTATAGAATTTTAAAAAGCAAATAATGATTTTTGACAATGTACACTTTCAATTTGCAATTCACATTTTTTTCTTATTGTGACACATTTTTTTCTATTTATTATACCTTTTTGGTATATAGCCTGGCTGAACTTTTCTTTTACTTTCATTACTTTCATTTCATTACTTTCACCATTCAGTTTATGAGCAGCAGGTGGCAGACTAGATCTTCAAGCTGCTGCATTTAGCATCATCAGCCATTATTTCATTTTCTCACTGCAGAGAACTTTAGATCATATCTCTGTATAAAAATTGTTTTGTGACACTTCAAGGCACCAAAGTCAATGTGTTCCTACAATTGGGGGGAAAAGGGATGGATGCTTGCTACTGTTTTATTCTTTGTCTGGATTACTGCAACAGTTTGTTCCAAAAAACATGTATTATTACACAAGTTCTGAGAATGTGACTAGTCTTCTTGGATTCAACTGGGGGAAAAAACTCATAATAGTCTTATAACAAACAAACCTTTTTCAGGTTGGTGTTTAAAATCACCAGATCTCCTCCTCTGCTCTGGCAGTCTGTCCTGCTCTCTGTCCAGTTTTTCTTCTCAGTAGAAGCGTAGTAGAAATATGACTCACGAAGCTCCTGCCATTCTTTAAAAAATATATACATATTTTTTGCAACATTGTTTTACTACAAGTGAAAATTAACTTTAATAAATGTCCTACCTTTCATTCTCTGGTTCAGTTTTTCTTGTGTCTGGTTCTGAGACGAGGAATGTTCTTTACATTTCAAACTTATTAATGGAGCTACATAAAGAAAAAGCATAAATGTTAAAATGAAGGAATATTTGTGGGTAAAGAGATGTTGTCCAAATAAAGGTGATGTTTTACTTACAGAGTAAAAAACTTATCGCCACCATCAACAAGAGGCAAACTACACCCAAAGTTACTGTAGCAACCTTGTAGCAGTTTCTCTGGATGGTTGGTGGACGCTTTTGAGTCTGAACTCCTACAAAATCATGGAGGAGTTTGTCTTTTTATAATTACAAAATATTACCTTTCACAGCTAAAACAACTGTTGTCTTATAATACATATAAACTTGTATTAAAAGGTGTGAACACAGGATAAAAACTGTTCAAAACCAGCTTTGACATCAGCTGGGTGGAAACTTCTTTATAGTCTCAAATCTATGTTGGCAATTTAAATACTTATACAACATGTTCTAAATGAGGTACAAAAACAATAGAAATGTTTTCCTTTTATTAAATGGTTGTGAAACAACAAATTGATGCCAAAACGTCGGTTTATGAAAAGACTAAATTTTTAAAAGTTATAATGGCTGAATCCTGAAACGGCTGAAGAGTTAACAGTCATTGCGTAATGAAGCAACATCAAAACTAATGAAAAGTTAATCAAATGTAATACATATTATATCTAATTAAAGATCTGCTTGTTTTTACTTTTCCTATTAAATTTTAGCACATTTTCAGATGTCAAAGCACAATATATTCAGTGGCACCAAGAAGATAAATATGCAACCTTCTTAATATCTTGTCATGTTCTGATACTTTCTCAGGTTTCGACAGTATCAAACTATACCTGGAATATTTAGAAAGCTGATTATGTAGTAAATATTTATGATTCATTAAAACCTACCTCGGGCCTTCCTGGAGGGATTAGCTTGATGGCAGGTCAACGTCTCGGGACTCTCGTAGATGTCAACCACTTTTTCCACTTTCTCCTCTTTCTCCATTTTCCTCCATCCTTTTCCTCTCACTTCTTTGCTGTACTTCACTTTCATGGTCTGATCTGGGTCTTCGTAAATGTTGCAAGACATCTCAAGATGGATGGAAGTGGATTGTATCCTTACCTTCCTACAGGACTTAAGAAGTCGTTTCAGCAGTACAAATTTCTCTTCTTACTTAGCCCAATCTAATTATTTCAAATATTTACACCAGAGTTTCAAAGTCAATTTTAATTTTTTTTCTCTTAAAACCCCCGAAATTAGGATACCAAAGCTAGTGTGTCAGGTTTTGTGCCAGGTTTCCTGCTCTTGTATGTTACTCGGCTTTTGACAGGAAGTACAGAGATGGTTATCACAGGAAAACATAAAGACACTCGGTGGTTTAGCGCGTCACAGTGCAATTCATTAAACTGAAAGGAACTTTTAATTAAATTTATAAAAGCTGTAATAACTCATTTATGTTTTGACACAATTTTTTCTTGTCAGGACTGTCTCTTCTTTAATTTGTAATATATATTGTTTTTAGGATTTTGCAGTAATGATTCTTTAGAGTTGCAAAGTAGAATTTATTTTATTAAAACAAGCTAATTATATAGCTAGAAGTATTGGAAAGCAGCCATTAAGTTAAAGATTTACCTAAGTGTTGAAAATAAAAGATGAGACAGATGTAAGTGGTTTATTTGCTTTCCCTGAGTCATACAAAAACAAAGATTTGGACTTGTTTGCTGCTAATGTGATGTACAACGATCACCGTGATTATTTCCTCCTTGACCTCCTTTCACCTTCTCAAATATGTGAACAGGAAATTAGACTAAATAAGCTTCAAGCAACAGCCAGAAACAGCTTGATCAACCTTGTGAATTCAAAAAGGACATCCAGAAATTTCCAATGGTTATTTTTATTTAAACTGGACATTCATAAATTAATTAATTTAACCATAAATAAATGTGATAAATATAGAGATTAACTTAGTTATAACTTTTCTTTTTAAATATTTCAGCTGAAATGCTAAATTTAATGTGACCATACTTCTAGACCATGACATGGTTTGAGTTTTTTCTTTATCAGATAGAACAGTGTGATCTAAGGAAGGAAATGCATGACACAAACCACCATTACTGTGACTGAGTCGACTTTGTGGTTACAAAGAGGTTTGAACATAACATATTATGAACAATTTTTAAAACCTTAATATGGTTGTTAAGTAAACCCATGACAGACCACTATTGAACTCTCTAAAGGATTACTGAGCCAGTGTTTTGGTGTTGGTCAGGACTCTGGCAGCAGTATTTATAAGGATATTTATAAGAATGTTAAATTGCGGATCTGCTGAAGTAAATTTAACTCAGTATCTGCCAACTGGATCTGAATAGTTTTTCGTTCTTCTTCTATCAGGGGCCCGCAGGTCCTGTTGGAGACACAGGTGTACCCGGACCTCAAGGACCACCTGGACCTCAGGGACCAAGTGGCCGCTCCATCATTGGACCCGCTGTAAGAACTTCTGGCTTTCTGATTTACATGTTAGAGTTTCTGTTAGACCACATTCATTTTCAGTACCTGGACCTGTTGTCTGCAGGGTTCTGCAGGAGAGAGGGGGCAGAAAGGTGAAGCTGGCCAACAAGGACAACAGGTAACAACTGTTCACTCAATATCCAGTGTTTACTGTGGGGTTATTCTACTTTTCACTTTTTAAATTGAAGTTGTTTTGCAGTAAGGCCAGATTATTTGTTCATAAAACAAATAATTGATCTGAGAGATTTTAGTAAATATTGATATGGTAGTGATTTAAAGAACTTACTTCACATTTTTTCTCAGGGTATACCTGGAAGACCCGGCCCTGTGGGAAGAGAAGGACCTCCAGGACCCAGGGTCAGTCCGAATGTCTTTATATTACAATCTTTCAGTAGCGAAACAACAACTTGAATTCTTTAAAATATTTTGAAGACTCCATGAAAAAATGATTATAGCTGACCTTACCCAGTCAAAGTCTACCCCAGGCTTTATGATTTACTTTCACCTCTACAGGGACTTCCAGGCAAAGACGGCCCACAGGGCAGACAGGGACCCCCGGGAACTATGGTGAGACCGGCATAAAGTTCCCCCAGTATTAAAATACTTGTTGATTTATATTAAAACTATTTCTGGAGCTAATTTGCTTCTGTGCCTCCAAGTAAAGACATAATAAAATTGCTTATTTTTAAATGCTGTTAACTCATTTGTATTTAAGCTCATTTAAAATTGGATATATTCAGAATGTGATTATTTGAGCATTTGTTGCTTCAAATACAAAATGACAACCACTGAATTTCTTTTTCTGTTTCCAAAGCAGTTTGGTCTGAGAATGTATTTTTTGAAATAGTTTCAAATTATTTCTTTATACAAAATTTACAAAAGAAATTGAAGGATATATTACGAGATATTTTATTGGTAGCAGCTACTGGCTGTGTGACTAAATTGGATCAACACTCTTTAGGTAGAAAGAAAACTTGATAATATGCAGATAATACGGCTGTGGCTGTGTGGCAGAGTTGTCGTCTTGCAATCGGAAGGTTGTAGGTTTGATTCAAGCTTCCTCCTGCCATATGTCGATGTGCCTCTGGGCAAGGCACTTAACCCTAAATTGCCTACCGGTCTGTGTATGAATGTGTGTGTGAATGGGTGAATGTGACTCCAGTGTAAAGCGCTTTGAGTGGTCAAAATGACTGGAAAAGCGCTATATGAGTTCAGTCCATTTACCATTTAAGAGAAATTGCTCTTGTAAAAGCATTGATTCCTTCCTTTCATGTCCTCAGGGGACTCCAGGATCTCCTGGATCTCCTGGAAATACCGGAGCCCAAGGAAAACAAGGAACCCTGGGACCACCGGTGAGTCTGGAAATCATACCGACCTGTTTTTTCTTGGTTTGCATTTGTTAAAGAGAACATATTCTTTTATGTGTGAAAAATCTTGTACTGTGCAAATATCCCAGAGGCAGCAGGACGTAGCGTCAGTCAGGCTTAGCAGAGTGTGTCAGACAGGCTGGGAGCTGGTAAGGTGGCTAACGGGGGATTAATGGCTCCCTGTCCAGTCTGTCTGTGACCGTATTTGATATGCAGACACCCAAATGAAAGGCACAGTGAAGAGTATTCAAACTAACACAAAAGGAGACATCTGAGTTCAGACTATTTTGTGAAAAGAACTTCAACAGTTTGACCCATTGTGTTATGCTTAAATAGCGGCACTGACAACTTCTCTGTCAAGAGCTTTCACCAACTCTTTTTGTAGCATGAACTCTTTAAGTCACTTCTCAATCTAGATCACCCATTAATGAATTTCTAATGCATTTCAATGGTCATTGTAAAGACTCAACCCTGATACAACCAATTAAAATTTCAATCTGCAAAATTCAAACCGAAGCAAAGAAGAAAAACTCTAAGGCGATTTAAACAAATCTTTTTCTGGCATTTTGTTTTGGTTTGTTTTCTCTGCTTTGGCATTTATTTGTGTTTGAGTGAAAGGAAACCACATTTTCATAACAGCGCCAAAGAAGAAACAAGACTCTGTGGGAGGTGATAAAAGCTGCTGATAAATGAGTTTGCATCGCTTTGATAAAATGTTGTCAAGCATGTAATCATCGCTGCGTGGGCGGACTGCAGAGAGCACTCATCAGCTAATTACAGCACCACTGTTAAGTTATTGCTCTTAATGAGGACTTAGTGGAGGAAAATACAGCGCAGTGAGTGTTGGGGATTGACACAGTTTCTAAAACAATAAATCTATGCAATTTTCTTACTTATATTGTTTTTTATTTTGTCCTTTTGATTTTCTGTAAATGTTGTTTTGTCTGGAATACATTTCTACATATTTTCTTTACCTTGTTTACATATTATACATAAAGTTAAGGTAAATATTAGACTCTGCTGAAGTAAAATATCACAATAAATAAATATTTTTACTGCAATATAATCTCACATTGAAAAAATAGAGTAAAATCCAACTTTTAAATTTAATACATGTATTTGCTGGTCAAATGTAAATCTGCAGTGCTACTGTATGTATATTTCTCATTTTCAGGGAGTATCAATAAAGTAGTGATAAAGCATTGATACTCCCTGACAAGTCATGAATATTCATACCCACAAGTCATGGGTATAAATATTAGATAACAAAGAGGCTTATTTGTCTTAACCAGTATACAAAACAGGAAAGACAAAAGAACACACAATTTAAGTAAGGCCAGTGTGAACAAATGCTGCCACTGGAACTGTGTGACTTTGAGATGAAGACTTTCAACAACGAAAACTTCAGGAGGGTCTGCTGTCACTCAATCAGAGAATATGTGAATATTCTTCTTTTGGCACCACAAAAAACTCAAAGCACATGGCCAAATAACAAGACATGGTTCACTAGCCACTAAATCAACCTTCTCCCATGGCTTTCTCAGTTCCTAAAGCTTATAGAAAATATGTGAACTGAGCTGAAGAAAAGAGTCTGAATGTTCCCCTATTGACTAAAAGGGGTTGGAGCCTTGTGCAGTCTGACGTCTGTGAGCTGTCATGACATTTGATCAAAAAATTAGCTTTTTATTCGCAGCTAATTGTTAACCTTTTCATGGATATGATGTGTAGATGTAGAAATATTTGAATAGAAATGCCATGGAAAAGGTGATTTTCTGTATTTTCCAATCAACTTTGTTTTTCTGAAGACTTTCACAGCTTTCATTGAAAACAGTGAAACCTCAAAGTTGTGTTTAATTTTGTTATTAATGTTATATTTTATCTGTTTTATTACAGGGTCCGCCAGGAACAAAGGGAGAGAAAGGTGAACGGGTAGGTGTCTTTTTCCTATAGTATTTTAAGTGAATAACAGTATCATCGATATTACATCAGCTGTAAAATTTCATTCAAATGTTCAGGTAAAGTCATTTCTCAAAACATCAAGTCGCTGAGATACATAAATGAATGACAGAGGAAGATAGCATACATTAACCAAGTTTACAGCATGGATGAGAAGCTGGAAATCTCAAACTACATTAAATAATCTTTACTTTGTGTACAGGGTGACCTTCAGTCAACAGCATCAGTTCAGGCCATTGCCAGACAAGTCTGTGAGCAGCTGATCCAAAGTAAGTTAGTAAAAGAGGATGACATGGAGAAATGGGCCTTAAAATAAGACCTGAATTTTTGGGGGCATTGATCATATTCATAGACTCACAAGCATGAGGGTCTGTTTGGTGTAAGAACACAAAACAACTCCCAAAATCTGTTGTTCACACTTTTATTCCTGTCTGAATTATCTGAAGAATATTTGTAATTGAACAATCAAAGGTTTAACTCTTCCCTTTAATCCACTGATTTGCTTTTGTTGTCCATTTTGTGTTGCTCCCATTCAACAAATATCATAATGCCACTTGACTTTCTCCCTTTTTTGTCCCTTTTCCAGGTCACATGTCACGTTACAACACTATCTTGAACCAAGCGCCCAGTCCACCAGTGTCCATCCGCACAGTGCCTGGACCTCCAGGAGAACCTGGTCGTGAAGGTCCCCCGGGGCCCCAGGGAGAACAGGGACCACCAGGAAGGCCAGGCTTCCCTGGCCAAAATGGTCAAAATGGAAATCCTGGAGAACGAGGTGAAGCAGTTAAAGTTGCAGAGGACTTCTGAGATTTTTCAGATACTGAAATTCAAAAGTTGTGTATTTGTTATGTAAATAAATATATTATCCATGCCCCTCTTGAATATTATCACATGATAGTCTCAAACATCCACACAAATGAGGTGTGTGTATAACACACACTTGCTGATGCATGTAACATAGAAAAACGTTACGGCAATCTAGTGGTTGGAGTTATGTCAAACTAAACATGCTAAATGTTAAAGGTTTATATATTTTGTACTTACTGTGTTTAAATGAATAAACTACTACATAATTTTAACTCTTTTTAACATTAAAACACATTTTTATATCACTGAAAAATTTCTGGCAGTAAGAAGTTTAAAATATTTGTGAAAGTTAGCATTATGCATAAGGATTTGTTTTAAAAAGTAAAAGAATAACAATTAGTACTTTCTTTAGTCTAACAAAATGTGTTCATTTCTGTTTCCAGGTCAACCAGGAGAAAAGGGGGATAAAGGGTCTGCAGGTGTTGGTGTCCAGGGCCCCAGAGGACCCCCAGGACCTCCTGGTAAATCATCACAATAAGCCACAAATCCACACAGGATCTCTGCTTCATCTTTCACAATTTATATAAACATAGTGTGAATAGTTGAACTCTAACCTTTCCACTCCGTAGGTCCCCAAGGACAGGGCAGACCTGGCAGCCAGGGTCCAACAGGTCGCCCTGGAAATCCTGGAACTTCTGGTCGGCCCGGAGTTCCCGGTCCAGTCGGCCCTCCAGGACCGCCGGGATACTGTGACCAGAACTCTTGTTTGGGCTACAATGTTGGAGGTACGTATACTTTAAAGTAACAATCATGATGCATGCTGCGTCATCAGGCAACTTTAATGTCTTAAAACAAAGAATTGAGCTTGAAACTGTTTCAGTCGCCGTGTTAATCTTTTCTATGGAGGGTTTTCAGGTGGAACATTTAATTCAGTAAGCCGCTTTTCATCTTGAAAAGCTTCTACTGAGTTAAACAGTTTGCATGTTATCAAAGTCCTCCTTCCCAATGTCTGTATTTAAAAGTGAAACATAAAACACCTTTAAATGCTCAGCTGTGGTAAAGGATTCTGCTTTACCACCACATGTGTGTGTTTGATTGTTTATGCTGCATTGTTTTATCTGCATTGGTCTTGTTTTTTGATGAAACACAAAGTGAAACATCCAAACAACAAGGAGCCGTGTGTAAATCCACCTCTGTGGAAAAATGAGCATACTGACAGTTTATTCCTCTTAATTTGCTCTGAGTTCAGTTAGAACACTAAACTGGACCATGAGCAGTTAGTTCATTGTTGAAAAGATAATTAAATCTAAATTTTAACAAAGCAATTGTTTCTAAAAGTTAAATTCTAAAAGTGACAAGGAAGAAGTGAAATGAATTCAAACTTATTTGCTTTGCTCTAAATTGTTTTTGGCTTACTTGTCCCAAAAGAGGAAGTTACACAAATAAAAACTCACTTGTTTTATTACCTTAAATATACATATGCTCCTAAGCTAATAGCTTTCACCATATTCTTCTTAAGAAAACCATTAAGGTTGTAATTAATTGTAAAAAAATACAGAGAGAGAAAGCAAACGTTATACAAGATTATAGTTCATAAAAATATTGATATAAAAACAAATGGGGGACCAACCCATTTAGTCTTGTTTTTAATTCCTAGCCTGCAGCATCTGTTTTAAATTGCATGGTTTTCTCCACACAAGCGTAACCAAATCACAAATAAATTCTATATTTTATCTTGTTTCACCCGAGTTGTTGCTTTGTTGCTTTACTGAGTACGTCCTGCATTAAAGCTGCTCTTTTGGAGGGTTTTTTATTTCAAAATTAAACCATAAGTCAGACAAAATAGAACATCTCTACAATGTTTGTACAAGAGATTGTTGATTATAGTTTATACTAATTGTAAAAATCTCCAACATTTTATTGTTCAAAACCCTTTGCAAGAGTCATCTTGTGCCAGTTAATGCATGGTTGTGCTGATCTTTAATGTGTGTTGAGGTTAAATCTCACACAGCAATCTGAACGGTACTGTACTGTAAAGCTTGTGGCAGATCCTGCATGTTTTACCCTTTCTTCTGCTTTTGTGTTTGTTTGTCCAACACCCTCTTGTCACTTCATTGTCAAGCTTCACCAGAAAAACAATATGGTGACTACTGACTTGCTTCTGCAAAGCATCAACCACCAGTTAGAACTTTAACAGCTGCAGAGGCTTCAAACTGAAGAAGGTGATAAAGTTTTTGTCAGTCCATTCGCTGATTACAACTTCTACCATGGTGGTATGTGGAAAACTCTGGGGTTTATGGCCAAAACAAAGGTCTCAAGGGGAAAAAAAAAACTATTTTACCTGTTCTCTCTACATGTGCACATTCACATGTCATATTTTCAATATTTAGATTAGAATGAGAAAAAAACTTTTCTTTAAATATTTATTGAACAATGATGGGTGAGTGAAATACACATATCAAACATGTCAGTTTAGCTCATAGGAACACCACAATATTCACAAGTTGAACATATTATTTATAAGTTTGTGGGATTCTTTTTCATGTAAAATGAGAACACAATATCAAATATCTATAAGGCTTAAGAGTGTTGAGGTGGGATGGAATCATGAAACATACCTTGACCGTCATCCTTCTCTGACTTTTTCTTCTAGATTACGATCATCCAGTTCCTCTTTTTTAATCCAGAACCTTTACTGACTTTGTACAAACTCCAGTAACACAGATCACCTCTGTAAAGTGACTAAGCAAGACAGAACCTAATATATATAACGCACGTTTTAACTTCAAGTAACAGAAAGTCTTGAGAGATAGATTAATTTTGTGGCGTTGTGACAGTCTGAATGTAAGCTAATGGATAACAAATCTAATATTTGCTTATGAGATATGTTTTTTTTTTAAATAAATTCAAATGTTACTCTAACTTTAATCTTGACACAGTTTATCCAGAATTTCTCCTAACTTGCTCATAGTCCTATGACTCCATAACCTCGTTACTCATGGCTTGGTAACTCTTGCTAACTCTTGTTCCTCTTTCTTTTACTCCTTCCTTTTTATCTCTACCCATCCTTATGTTAACCCAAATAAATCCCAACAAATTGCCCTCCAACACTCTTTTCCTTGGTGATGGGAATCGACCGTCTTTCTTTGGGGCATTCACTGACTGCTTGCTCAACTTGGTGGCACTGGTGGGATCAATTCCTGGGTGACTGGCCACGCAGAAGGTGAAGAGATCACTGACATCCGCAGTATCCCTCCAGTCCAACTTCCGTCCAGCGTCTTCCAAAACTATGGTGAGGCAGAAGAGGACGACCCATACCGCTACTACCAGCCCAACTACCCAGCTCCTCAACCCGTCTCGCCTGATGACCCCGCGCTGGCGCAGGACGATGTCGAGCTGAGGTCCCCCGGTGTGTACCGCAGCAAACGGAGCTCAAAGGCGGAAGAGGAGCAAGCCGGGACAAAGAGGAGAATAAAGAGAGGAGTGAAGAATCCTCCTAAACTAACTAACTGAGAGGAGGAAGCTGGAGGACAGAGGGACGCTTGCTCTTTGTGATTGGAAGGCTTGGAGCCATTATGAACTAATCAACAAGTGCCTGATGTAGGGGGTTTCTTATGGACATTGGAGATGGAACGGGAGGGGAAATTAGGTTGGGGAAACTTAACTCATCTATGCTATTGAATTAACTTCAACAGAACAGATTTATTTAGTTTTATTCATTTTGTTTAGGTCAAGCAAAGTGCTCAGAAAGGTACTGAACTTTGGTTCATAGTACCCAAAAACTGTCAGTATTCAATTTATTGATTTGTTTTCAGGTCTTTCTGTTTTCCACCTGGTTGTTTAAGTGCCTCCTAGTGTTTTTTCTAGTACTTTGATGGTAAAGTAAAGTATCTTTTCTTTGACGGTCTCTTTTGATGCCTGTTTGCCAGGGAAAGATTTACTTGAGCCTTTCATTTGTTTATTTAATCAGTGAACGTGTAAAATGGTTTTACAGTGCAACATTTCCAGTAATCCTTTACTTTGGTAATTTTTTGCATTGAGCTGTGTGATTAATACCCCACCCCTCTGTTTTGAAGGCACGTACAATTTGCAGCCAGGGATTTTTTTCATCTTCACAACTGGTATTTGTGGAGTTTTGCATGTTTTTATTTCATTTTAACATGTGATGCATTCATTTCTGACCTGATAAAGCCACAGATAAACCTATCCTACATATCATGATGGCTTTATGAATGCTTATTGATATAATATTAAGCTAATATCTGTATGTTTGAGAAGGTTGATTAAACTAAAACTTTATAAATCCATAGATAATATGGGCAAAAAACAGATTGCTGTTTCTCACCTCTTACCTTTTAATTTTACCAGTTTAATTTTTCTTCAACATTTCCTGTTCATATTTGTAATCTGTTAGCCATCTGTTCCAGAGAAAATATTCTACATCCTTTTATATTTTTTTTTCATTTTAGGTCAGCTTTAGAAAATGAGTACAAATAAATTAAGCACACTAATTCCATATGCATGATTGGTTTATTATCTTAGTTTTCATGCTGCACCTTTTTTTTCACTCCCATTTTTCTTGTTGGTGTGATTAAATTATGCCCAATCACATTTTCAATTTGGTAAATGCTTCCTCCGTTTGTTTCTTTTCTGAAGCCTTTGGTGTTACTGCAGCGTCTGATCAGGATGTTTAAAACTAAAAAAAAAATCAAGGAAGTAATTTATTTTTTACTTGGTGTTGATTTTCTCAGAACAATAAAACTGAAGTACAAGCGTTTAGAGTTGTGTCTGTGTGTGGTCTGGTTAATTGTGATGCTGTCCCTCAGCAGGGAATGTGACTGAACTGGGGGGAATAATTAAACTCGAACAGGAAGCTCCAAAATGAGCATTGAAGCTGCAGGAAGCTGATTAAACACCTGGCAGAAAAGCTGGACCACCTAGTTCACTATTGCTCCTTCATCCTCTGGTCTGAGAGTGGAAATCTCAAAGCTTACTGAGAATAATTTTATATTTGAGGTTGAATCCTCAATAGGTGGTAAAGTGTTCAGCTGTGCTGTCTGACTGAACTCGGGGACTGCACCTGTTTCAAAACATTGGCTGAAATTAAAACTGCAAAGGTCAAAACTTTCCCTCTTATGAGCCACAAGTTTTAAATTTTCTTCAGTGTTTTACAGAGTGTTTATGTCATAATAATTTATCGTGTTGTTTCAAATGTTTTAAATGTCACATTGTCTTTCTGCAGTGAACTCACCTCATTCATAGCAGCTCCAGCACATACTGTAAAATGATCGGGATCTTTTTTATTCAAAGAGTTAAAAATACTTAAAATAAATGCTTTCGATCTGCATCAAGAAAAAAATGCTCCTTTTTTCAACATATGTGACGGAGAATCGTCTAAAAATGAAACTGTTCTTCTTAAACATAATTTCTACCTGTTCATTTCTCGTGTTAAAGTAGAAACAACTCTATTTGTACTTTGTAATAAACAGAGTGTAATGGGGGTCCTAAGTTCAACCCTTTCCACTCTTCAGGGGCCTGACTCCAACTGATTTCTCCCTCCTATTAGCAATGTCCCACAGGGTGCAACTATGTTCTCCAGTCAGACTTGCTCTCATTTAACCATTTTATAGCATTTCACGACCTGAATCATTTGTTGTCTTGGGAATCTTATTCAGGGATGGTTTGGTTTCAGCTTCTCTATCGTCTTTTACCACTGGGATAATGTTAACAGTTCCCATTCATCCTAACTATATTAAGTCGCTAACTATGACTTATACTATTTTCCCCTTAACAAATTGCATTAAAATTGTAATTAACACTGTCATAAATTGGTACAGTAACAATATTAAGAGTGATAAGACAAAAGTGAAAATTTTAAAAGAAAAACTTACCAAAAATAAAATGTGCTTCATTTAAATTATTTTAATTCAAATTTTTTCAACAACTTTGATGCCAATGTCATGAAAAGAAAATAATCAGTCTACACTACATATTTTTTTTATTTTTTTTATGTAGACTGATGATTATGTTGAAAGATTCCACAGAGAACTAAATTGTAAAATATCTATTTAGGAAGACAAAACATTGACATATATTTATAAATACATTATATTTTTCTTCTTTTGCAGAATTGTTTTAACTTTTGCAAAGTACTATTATAAAAAGTTGTTATGAAATCTTACTATGTATTTCCAGAATATGTAGAGCCTCTTTACCTCATTTGACCTGGATAACATCAGCTGCCTCTGGGTTTCTGTAGTTTGGCTTTAGTTGTCATGGTTAAGGAATGAGTTCTGGTAACGAGGATTTTCACAGAAATAGAAGTGTGTGTGTGTGTGTGTGTGTGTGTGTGTGTGTGTGTGTGTGTGTGTGTGTGTGTGTGTGTGTGTGTGTGTGTGTGTGTGTGTGTGTGGTTGGTTGGGTGTTTTTGTGTGTGTGAAAATAGAAAGCAGAAGCCTTGCAGAGTGCCTTGACTGTGGAGCTCAGCAGGTGGGGAGCCTCGTTGGTGCGAGGAGTGTGTTGAAGTGAGTGTGTCGTTCATTCATGTTCACAGATTTGAATCTTGAAAATGTTTTTGTTGGGGTCTCCACGGAAACATCCTGAATCTAAGCAGCTGCAGCTAACAATGCTCAGTTTATTCTGGCAGTGATGCTCCATTTAATGTCTGAATTGTTTGAACTGCATCTAATTTGTGGCTTGATTTTTGTATTTCTTGTATTTATCAGATGTTTTTTGCCTAAAGCAGTGGTTAATATGTATTTCAATAGGGGTTTTGTATAAAGTCTCTGATTGTCATATTGAAAATGGATCAAAAATCATACATTTTCTGAATCAGTGCATAAAAACCTTGACGTTGAATGCAGGCTAGTGGTTTGACTCACCACCATTAATTGTGTTACTGACCATTTGTGTTTCTCATTAGCTTATAGGGAACTACATGTTTTGTAATTGTTCCCACAAACCCTAACTTCTTGCATAATTTGCACTCAAATGCCATAACAGTGACAAAGTAATGCAGGTTCTTAATTTATGCAGAGACTTTATGGGCACTGATGAAGATTCACATTAGCATGTCCCAGAAATGGAGCCACATTTGTGAGGAAATGCATTTGTAGGTTGAGCAGCAGAGCTGAGTACAGCGGCTGCACCCATCATAAACCTGTCAAATCTGCTTAACTCTGCTTAACACCTGTGTTTGGTGTCAGTTTTTTATGGATTGAAACATTTAGATTTGAAGAAATCAGTATTTTTATTTAAAAAATGCATCCATTTAACAAATAAAAGAAATAGTCCGCCTAGAAGCTGTACAGGTCGCCAGCTTGGTCACACACAGTTGATTACATCTGATTCAGGATTTGTTACTGAATGGTTGCATTGGTCAATTTGACATAATCAGTGAATTCAGGCAAATTCAACATGTTCAGTAGTGTTGATGTCTGGATACCATAACATCCATTCCATCCTCCCTGCTCCCAGCTCTACTCTATTATACATGTGGGTTTTATGATAATATAATACTTTTGAAGATATGCTTAATTGTATTTAGTCCTTTAAAGCAGATATATTTTAACTGAGCAAATAAGGCAAAATTTTATTCTGTGGATTTTTTTTCCATTTAACTGAAGCATAGTTGCATCATTAACCAGGGTTTTCTAAAAGGGAATTATAGGGAAGCTTAAAGCAAAAGAGCTTAAAAGCAAACATGAGAAAAAGAAGATCCAATTAAAGGGCGAGCAGGAGGAGATGAGAGCGCAGTGAAGCACCTCCACTTTACATCTGCTTAGATGAATTTCCATTTAAGTCCAATAATTAAACATTAAGTGATTCGTCCACAGAAGCAGTCTAATAGTTTCTAAGGAGGATTCCTTCTTAGGATAATTCTCTCCTCAGGCAAAACAAGAATTCTGCTCCTCTTCATCGTGTTTTATTTTCATTTGACGTGTGATATTTGAGGCTTTAAAACCGCACCGACTGACACCAGTGAATGAAAAAAATAAATAAATAAATGCTGTCTGATGTTGTAGAATCACACAGTTTATGTTTAAACTTGCCTTTGTTTCTCAAATCAAACATCACTGAGGGAGGAAGAGGGGGAGCGAGGAAAGACCTCACACAGAGACCAAAGCCTGCAGCATTTCCTCCTTTACGTTTCATGAATCACACTTACATGCATCTGCATTTCAGGAAGTTCTTCCACAGCTTATTTACAAAGAAGGCATTTAGATCTGACCCCCATATTCATCCTTTCTTCAACCTATTTTTTTTCTTTCTTCTCATCAAAGTTTCTTGTGCGTTTGTCCTTTTTTCATTGCTTGCAGAATTTTGAAAAGCTTTTTTTGTGGCCTACGTGTCTGTATCTGTGACTCTGTTTAAATGGGTAAAGCAACAGATTAGAACGATAGATTCATGTTTGAAATCTTATGTGTGAATTATGTGACTGTTACAGTGAAGAGGCAACAAATATGGAAAATAAGTTAAGGATTTTCAGTGTTTTTCAGGTCCTGTCTTTATGTTTTTGGATCTTCATGTCTACAGCTTCTGATTTTAAATGGCGATTAACTCTCAAATTTGGTCTGCATGCACAAACCACGGCAACCATAGACATCCACATTTACAGGCATCCTTGATAAAGATGTCTCTGAAAGAAACAAACTCCCACTGAGAAATTGTTAATAATTCCATGTCTTAATTGAATTGACAGTATCTCTACTGTTTATACTTTGTGGAAACCCCAGTCTCCACTCTCATAAGTTTTCTGTAGGATTTATACTGGGTTCAGAGACCAAAATGTCCATGGAAGATTAATTTTTAACTGGAGTTTTTTTTCTGCTGAAAGATACAGCATCAACCCATCCGATTTTTACTCAATGTCTGGGTGTTTCAGATGTCACACTCTGATATTCCCTTATTGGGGAACCCGAAAGAAACAGACAAACAGCATCACAGTTCTCTGACCAAACCAACAGAAGGCATGAGGTGCTTTTCTACACAAATGTACTATTATTCACTCCAAACCCAGTAAGAGTCTTTAAATTAGCCTCATCCAACCAAAGCACAAGCTTCCATTCAATCATCAAACACTTCTACGAATTGCAGTCAACTATAAAAAGCAGAGCATTGAAGAAGATTCAGGTACATTTATTTTTAGTAATTGTTCTGGGTCCCACAAAGTGACGTTGTCAAACAACTAAAGTAATGTGTTTTCTCTCCACAATGAATAAATGCAGTCAAATTAAGTTTCTTAGTGAGACAATAAAATATTTAGTTATTTTAAGACTGTTACACCAGGTGTGTAAACTGGGTAAGCTTCTACGGATGAAGAAACCACATTGTGACACAACAACGTTCACAAACACCTACATCTTTAAATTGCACCCAGAAGAAATCTAGAAAACCACACAGCAACCTGCCAGTTTGTAAACACAAATAAAGAAAATGGGGAAAACAAAATCATCACCAGTTATGCGTTTCTTTCTCCAGCTGCTGAATATTTTCTAGTTGAAGGATGGACATTTTAGATTGCATGTCATCCTCCTAATAACCAAGAGTGCTTAAATACAATAATTAGAACCACTTTAGTTGTGATTTGCTTGATTATAATTATCTCAACTGTTAAAGCAGGACTCTTTATGTAGCTTGGCAAAAAAGATGGTTGTCTTTTATTTTAGACTAGACTTAGACTTAGACTTGTACTTTATTGATCCCTTGGGAAGACTCTCTAAGGAAATTATAGTTACCAGCAGCTCACAGGCAAAAAAGTGGCACACAGTAAGCATA